TCGATCAAATTAATTACAATTCTCTTTATATTGGAAAAATCTATGATTAGTTAAAATTAAATTTTACTTCCCTTCTGTACTAACATTCTCAGAACCAACTTCATAATACTTTTCTTAGCACCTCTAAGGTCTTATGTAAAGGTCTGAAAACTCTGTTACTCCCGTGCAATATACAGGTTTTTTAAAAAGAATTTTTAAAATCTTTCAATTTTTAAAATACTACGATAGAAACCACCAGAGTAGAGAATCCCGACCTTTTCAATTTGGTAAAGTTTTTTCACATATACAAACATTCCAATTCTATACACAATAAAGACATATAAAACCTATAAATAGACGATTACTGGGGCACATGGAGATTTATAAAACTCTAACAAGTACACACAAGTAACCTACTTCTATAATATACAGGGTGAACTAGTTACAAACAACACGAGAAATGTCCATCAATTTGGATATAACTAATTTAATCATCCTGTATACTACTCGAGTTGCGAGTATACTCAATACAAAATGACCTCCTTATAGATATTGTAGACTAAACAAAACAAATTGTTATTATCTTCACAAATATTCAAGTATCAATAAATAAATGGTGTTACAAATAAATTGCCTTGTCCCTTTGCAGTTAATTAAGGCTGAGTACACGTCCGCACTAGCAGGGCAACTACGAAACGCCGTTTATGTAGTTTCGGGTCTGTCTGTCTCCGTCGAACATGCTGGGATCTCGCTTTGCGTGAAGGGGATGGAACATTCGAAACTTCGAATAGCGTTTTTCGGAGTAGCCCCGCTGTTCGTCAGAATGAATCACTCGCGTATAATTTAGGAGGTCATGGTACTCTTATATACTACGTTGTCCGCAGCGTGGCTGTGGCTCGTCCGCGGCGGCCTAGCGAAATAAAATTGATTCTTTAGATTTTTTTATTGATTTAATTGCAATTGTACATCAAGGATGAAGTTGATAGGTAATGAAACCGTCACGTTGGAATATTGACATACTTAACTAATACATTGTAATGATTTGTTACTCAACAAATTATTTATTGACAGATTATCTTATCAAGTAGGTAAATTACCGTTGGCGAGATGTAGTGTTGTGGCCATTTGTCAACTAATGCCGCGGCGCCGAATTGCTATAAGTATAAATCAATATGTTTTTGATCAAATATCTCTAATTTCCAAAGAATTAGGTAGGGTTGATTACCTATAGCAATCCGGCGATAGTAGTCTACTCGACATTTAGTTACTAAATTACTCGTGATTAAATAAATAAATAATTCAACTAATTTACTCGACTAGTTCGAACAAGGCTTAATCCCACAAACGACGGAGTAGATGAATGACCGTTGGCGAGTGGTAGTGTTGTGGCCAATCGCCAACTAAGGCCCAGTTTTTTGATTCATAGTTAAAATAACAAATTGTTAAATTTTTCTACTAATGGTTAAATATTAACAAAATGTGAACTAATAGTTAAAAAATGTACTGAAAGTCAAGCTAACCATTGTTCGAAAAACATTTTTTTCTGATATTTAACCACTTGTCATTTGACATCTGTCAAATTTGACCATTGGTTATTTTAACTACGAATCAAAAAACCGGGCCTAAGGCCACCATAACCATTGGTCAAATTTGACAGATGTCAAATGACAAGTGATTAAATATCAGAAAAAATGTTTTTCGAACAATGGTTAGCTTGACTTTTAGTACATTTTTTAACTATTTGTTTACATTTTGTTAATATTTAAGCAAAATTTGACAATTAGTTATTTTAACTAAGAATCAAAAAACTGGGCCTAAGTTTCGGCGCAAATGGGCCACCGCCCACAGCCACCGGTGGCCAGCGACGGCGACTAAACACACGTGTATCCGGTGGTGGCCACTCGCTACAGTAGCGTCCGCGACTCGCCACTATACAAAAAGTGTGTTAAGTCGCCGACGCTGGCCACCAGTGGTTGTGGTCGGTGGCCCATTTGCGCCGAGCCTAAGGGCTATATTTCACTGGGACACCATGGCGGCGCAACCAGTCGCCCGCTACCAACAAAACGTATACAGCTCTATAGAGAGTTACTCACCTGGTGTCCGTTTGGTTGCGCAAAGCTGTATACATTTTGTTGGTAGCGGCGACTGGTTGCGCCGCCATGGTGTCCCGGTGAAATATAGCCCTAAGTGTATAGTAGTGGCACGGTAATAATATTATCATACAGTATTGTAACTTCATATAAACCGACGAAACGCGAGCTTTCCTTCGAATTTCAAATCTCGGGACGCGGTCGAGATGAAAAAATTAGGGGTGTCGCGAATGTGCCGAACGGACGTCAATGGCCTAGTGTTGAAAATGACTAAGGTAATTGAATTTGATTAACCGTCATTTACGGTCAAATGGCAATGCCAGATTTTGTATGGAAAGTGGCGTCTTTTTTTTTTCGCGCGGCCATCGACCAAACTTTGTTTTTTGATTACAAAATAGTGTAATAAACCAAAGTTACTATGGCATGTATACCTCTAAACTCAGTCTGAACTGAGTTACGAGCATTAGAAGTTTGATTATTTTCATACTAGATTTGCTTTTTGTGCGCAAGTTTTGTAGGAAATTGCAACAAAATATTGCGCAATTTTTTTATTGCGCTGATTCTGCTCCATACTGATGTCTGGAGCCTTTAATGGATGATATTGTTTGTTTACACATACAATCTCACTATTTTGTTGCAATTTCTTGCAAAACTTTGCGCGCAAAAAGCAAATCTAGTATGAAAATCATCAAACTTCTAATGCTCGTAACTCAGTTCAGACTGAGTTTAGAGGTATACATGCCATAGTAAGTTTGGTTTATTACACTATTTTGTAATCAAAAAACAAAGTTTGGTCGATGGCCGCGCGAAAAAAAAAAGACGCCAATTTCCGGCATTGTCTTTTGTNGTGTAAAATAGAGATGAAACGGATATCAGGTAACTATCCGGTAGGCCGGATATCCGGCCTAAATTTACTATTCGGCCGGATACCGGATAGTAACTCACTATCCGGCCGGATACCGGATATTAAAAAACTACCACAATTTCCTATAATAAAATGAAATCATTAATCTTTGAGGACCAAATATCAATAAAATGGCTTTTAATAGTGACGGGTTTTATTTAAAGTCCAAAAAGTAAAAAAAAGCCATATTATCAAGCCTTTCAAAAAACTAATTTCTTTTTCTGGGCGCTTCACTAATGACGAATACTTACTTATTATTTAAATTTATTTAATTAGTAAATATCTGTTAATGTTGAAATATTTGCCAAATAAAATAGGCGATCTTTTTTTCACTAATAGTCTGATGACATGATGCAGTTCAGTCAGATTATGTAGCAAGAAAACTAATTTAGTTTTCACTATTCAATGAGACACTCATCATGGCAACCGAAACCGCATAAAATTGATCTGCCCCCTCCCCTAGACAAGAGGCCAAATTTTCGAAAGTGTGACTTATCTAGTCTACTAGACTCACTGATCGCGTTCGAAGCACCTGTGCGGTGCTAAACTCGTCACGATATGCAACGAGACAATGGGCCAACTATCCGGCCGCCGGATATCCGGCTATCCGGCCTGGCAGCACGCCGGATATCCGGTATCCGGTATCCGGCCAAACAACTATCCGTTTCATCTCTATACGCAGCAGATTCTTTGCAATGTCTCGGTGATTTACGTATCCCTCGATTCTCGATCGAGTTACATATTTTCACAGACGCATCTCAAATTGCATAAGGGGCGTGTGCATACGTGCGTACATTCGTCCAAGGTGCGTACCTACGTTAGACGGTTCAGATGTAGGTAATTGTAAAATTACTTTGCGCAAAAAGTAAAGTAGCACCCTTCAAAGTTATAACTATACCTAAACTTGAGCTTTGTGGTGCTAACATAGGGGCAAAACTTTATGAAAAAATTATTGAATCACTTTTTTCATTAAAATTCGATAAAGTATATTTTTGGTCAGACTCCACCATTGTTTTGGGCTGGCTTCGTAATACGTCTCCTCATTTACTTAAAACGTTTGTACAAAACCGAGTTACTGAAATAAACGAGTTAACTGGTGGCATGCCGTGGTTGCATGTAGGTAAATGACAAAGATAACCCGGTAGACTTAGTATCTAGAGGCCTTAACTTGGGATCGCTTAAAGATTCTAAACTTTGGTGGAACGGACCCGATTTTTTGAGTAAATATGATTTCTAAATTCAAATACATATTTCCGATTATAATGACAATTTAATAAATAATATTAGCCTGCCTGAACTTAATTTAAAGAAATTAAGTTATGTTTCTCATAAAATGACACATTTAATAGATTTCAATCGATTTTCATCAGTTACTAAATTAATTCGCACCGTTGCTTATGTACCTACTCCGCTTTATGAACAAGATGCGCTTGCGACTGACTGGCTTACGGAAATAACTTTCTGTCATGGGTTCTTAATAAGTACAAGGTTATTATGTTTAAAATCAAAATAATTTATTTCATATTCCTGTTAAAAACCAACAAAAGTTAGTCTTTACTTAATTAAAGCCTATTTACATAAATATTTACATTGCGTTTAGTACCTACTGACCTTAAACAAATTACATTAATACTAACAGCCCAATTGACTCACTAAAGTCCTAGAGGTAGATAGGACAAGTCGACACATAAGTACTTATTATAATGGCAGTAAGAAATATAAGTACATAGGTACAAAGTAGGTTTCTTCATAGAGATATTTTTTAGGTAAATAGGGAATTAGGGATGATGACTGGGTAATGAAATCGAAATTCTATTTAGTCCGTCAGACAGATTAATTAGAAAATATTAGACTCGTCGTCAGTACTAAATCTCTATGGTCTCCATGCCGCTGACGACAGCGTTGCAGTGCGGTGCTTCATAGAACATTGTGTTTCTTGATGTACGCGACCGACGTCAGCGTAGGAGGAAATCAAGCCTAATATTTTCCAATTATCTGTCTGACGGACAAATAATTGAAATTTTGTCCAGTCCCATCATTCAGGCACTTTGCTTAATAATCTGTGCTTAGGGGATCGGGTTTACTGCACACCTGGCAGCCGTGACGTCACATCAACGCTCTCGTATGGCACGGGGCGAACGCGATGAGGTGTGCAGGTGACTGCGTAGCGAGGGAGAATCGCATTCTAGCGAGGTGCGCAGTTAGTTCGGGTTTTACCTCAGGCTGCTGACTTTTTTTCGGGCGTAAACAAAAATGGTTTAAAACGAGTTAAAGTTGTGTAGCGTCTGCCGTCTGTTCTTCTGTCTTCTTTGGTTCTGGCGGTGGCTTCTGCACCAGCCGTCGGTCGTCAGGCAGGAACGATGCTACTATGGCTGATGCTGAAAGGAAATGTACATAAGATAAAGTATATGCTTTACATTTTGTTCTTTACGAATTGTTATAAAAATTAGTGCGAGTGTCTTCCACGTAAGCGAGTCGCAGAAAGTTTTTAAATAACCAACAAAANCCGCGATTGAAAACACTTACTAAAGGATTCTCCATATTATAGCTACCTTCCTTCCTTTGCCATTAGCCAATTTTCCATCAAGGTCTTATCTGTTTCTAACATGTTGTTCTTCTATGAGTTGTATGGTAGATATTGCTTTCTAACTATTAGACCATGTGGATTGTCAGTCCCAACTTGTTCTATTTTCGCTATCTTAAATGTTGAGTAGTGTACTTGTTCTTTACGGCGAAGACTACTTACAACCAAACATAGAAGCGAAGACGTAAAAGCCAGCCTCGCAGTTGTTGACCAGCAGATAGTTGAGGATCTGGACGAAGGCGATGGTACCCACACGAGCCCCCGTGAGCGTCAGCCCTAGTGCTAGTACCCTGAAATATAAGAAGGAAACCAGTTTAACACTCGCTATTATCTGAAGCATCTTGCTTTTCAAGCACACTTTCACTTTCATTATTTTTTCAAATTTTACCAAACTTATACTTATGGCATTAAGCTCGCCTTTTTGTACTGAACATTGTTGTGTGTGCAATAAAGTCTTTAAATAAATAAATAAATACCTACATAGTAATAACTTCGGACTTTTTTCCAAATCGTCAAAGTCTCAAAAATATTAGTACTTAAGTATGCTGGCAGCGAAGATATACAGCCAGCTTTTTTGCTGATTTGCTTCGCACACACGCTTTTTACCCAACTGCGCCAGAAAGAGGGTTATGTTTTTTAGAAAAGCTATTTTCCGGAAATTTATATTATTTTATTAAATTATCGGAAAAAGTGCGACCGCGATAGCGTTTACACCCCAAGAACTACCAGTCCCATCAACAGTACTATCACAATGCGTCGAAACATCCTAATTGTAACTTTACCTTAGATTTGTTGGGAACAGTGCAACGGCTATAGCAGTGTACAGCCCAAGCACCACCAGCCCCATCAGCAGCACCAGGAACAGCGCAGCACTGGCGATGGTGTTGGGCACGAGGTTCATGATCACGCCCGAGAGCCCGCAAACCGCAGTGATGATGATCACCATGTTGCGACGACCCACCGTATTCAGGAACTGAAATTGAATTTGAAATTGAGTTCACTTGTTTTGTTTCATGCCAGTCCTATTTTAAGATTTACTTAGTTAAGTTTATGGCACAGATCAGTGCAAGACGCAAACTAAATGCTATTCTCTCCCTTTAGGCCAAGCAAAAACTGGAGTAGGTGGTGCTGCACCACCTACTCTACCGTGCAATAAAGGTTAAAAGCACATGTTATAGTGCGAAGTTTAATTAAGAGAGTTACCTAGCTATTAATGTAGTACATACATTTTTAATTGTAAGTATAAACTACCTAATATTGCCAAAAATCTACCTCTCTGATGCCGTACGTTACGTCAAGTGGCAGATCACAAAACTTCTGAATTATTTAAAAACTCTTAGCCCGGTCCGTGAGCACGTAGAATTTTGTCCAATGACCCCTAGCTACCCATCCTTATCCCTCGCGCGTAATTATATTGCTGTCGCGACTGTGCGATGGGCACCCGCAGTGAGTGTGCGAGCGCGACAGCAACATAATTACGCGCGAGCGATAAGGATGGGTAGCTAGGGGTCATTGGACAAAATTCTACGTACTCACGGACCAGACTATAGCACGTTTGACACCTTTTAACAACGAATTTAAACTTTTAACTTACGAAGTTGAGGACGAGACTGAGGAAGGACTGCATTGCACCAACAGCCAGCACGATCAACATGGCGGTGTTGTTCAGTGAACACGGCACTACATCTGGCTGAAAAATAATACGATAGTCTTGAATTTAAATTACACAAAAAATGCGTGCTTTTTTATTGCTTTACGAGGTGGGGACAGTGTTGTAAATTGTAAGAGTCTTGAGTCCTGCCTACGAGACTACTTAAGTAACTCTGGACTGAATCTTTTCAAAAGAACTCGGAGAGGAAGAGTTCTCTGCGTCCCTTAGCTGAAATCTTTGGAAAGGGCGCGAGACTTAGAGAGTCAAGAGAGCTTGACTCTTGACTTTGTCTCGCGAGATGTATTCTTGAGTCGTGCAAAGTGACTCGAATCTGAATTTCATCTTTTATAGTTCGTTTCATCCACGAAGACGCGCCCCTCCAATTGTTGGTCCTGGGAATCGCGGGGTGCGGTTAGTTTGATCCAAGCAATCCGACTCCGAGCGTCATTATTGTAGTGTGCGTGTGCACTCATGGATAATTTTGCGTGTACCGATAACACTCAAACATTAGCGGAAGAATAATAACGCGTCTTCGTGGATGAAGCGATCTACAACACTAAGTAGGGAGGGTTAAGTCTTCCTGTTACTTAATTCTTGTTCTAGGCGGAGAATTATGATGACCTAAAAAAACTTACGTCAACCACCGGTGGCGAGGCACCGTGCGATCGGAGGACGTCACAGACGGTCTGGTTCATGGGAGAGTCGTTCTCTATGGTCTCCATAAACTGGTTCGCGATGGTCGGGAACCATACAATCAGAGATCCTATTCTGAAAGATGGAAAGAGTTAATTGTAAACTTCTAGAAGATGGATGAATATTTAGTTACTTGAAGTAATAGATGACTTTGTGGTTTTCTTCTGCTTGTGTCTCTGCTGAATTTCGTTGGGTTACTCTGCCTTTCTTTAAAAACATCTTCCATACTATAGTTGAATGTAAAATACAGTCTTTTTTAATCCTTTTCGTGTGGTTACTCATCAGACGGTGTCAGGCCGTAAAGCAGATTTTAGTTAAACAAACAATACACCCCCATTTCCTGAAACCTAACCTCCGAGATTTTGAAGCCAGTGTAGGTACTTATTCAATATCAGTTTTCAGGTTTTCAAAGAAGCTCTTTTAAAACCAATCGAAAGCGTAACTATTTAACTAATAACTGTAAAAGAGCATTCCTATCACCTAAGTCGTTAAAATACTTAGATCAAGTTTTAGATTATCATCTTATGACAAGAAAGATAATAGGTAGTACAATTTATTTAAGGCTTAAGATACAGGGTAAAACCTCAAAGATTACCATATATGGTTTATGGCGTGCAATACAAACACGATAAGTTAGTAAATGATATTTATAGGTACTTACTGTTGGAATACAAAAAGCAGTGTCATGATAATCATGTACTTCAGCAGAGGTGCCCTAACCAGGGGGGCGAATTGCTCTTTGGCAGATTTGGGTTTGTCATTCTCTGGTCGTTCTTCCATTAGAAGGCCTTTAACCTAAAAATATAATAATTGGTTAAGTCCTCCGTTGCCAGTGCCTTGCCGAGCTTGGGTTTTTATTAGCGGTCAAGCTGTAGATCCTGGCTATGCAGGAGTTGCAGCGGTGGGAACGAAAGGTGAGAACAGTCCCGATATCTTCTACCTTGCCATGCACCAAATACCTTTAACGAAAAAATGTAGTAGGTACCTGTAACTCCTCTTTATTTTTGCTGAATCTATTGTTTATCCTGTGTATCCGCCTCAGGATTGCCAAAGCCTCTTCCTCGTTTCCTTTTGAGTAGGCAAACTTGGGACTTTCGCTTATGAACAGGAGGAAAAATGCAGAGATCGCGCTGGGTGCGGAAAACAGCAGCATTAAGGTCCTCCAGGAGTTCCAATAAATGCCCAGACCTTCGATGTAGTACGAGTATGACAGAGGTATCACCGGAATTGCTATCACTGGGGACAAATAAAATTAATGTAGTAAGGCTAACTGGAAGGACTACGAGCCTATTCAAAAAACATTTACTCTGGTAGGTACAAGTCATTTTCTAAGATGACGTCATTGAAAAAAGATGTCGAATTTTTCAAAGAGAACTGTTGACTGTAATCAGTATTTAATTGTGACTGCAATTTGTCAAAATAACCTTAAGATAGAGTGATGATAAAATAAAGCGGTAAAATTCTCACAAGCAATCACTGAAAAGCTTTTACTCTAGGTCGACATTCGCTTGCATTTACCTGCCATAATGCCCTGCGCGAGAATAAAGATGCTGGTGACCAGCATTACCACCAGGTTCCTCTTAGCCATGGGCACGCTCTCACTGAGCATGGACATCGAAAGCGAGTACTGGCCTGATGCCCTGAAGTACAGAAATAGGTAATGTTAGTATCCACTAGCTTTTATACAAGACTTTTCTTTATGAGAAGCTGAAGAACCAGTCCAGCAGTCTATCCAAAGAATGGACATGGAGCACAATTTTTGTTGAAGATGCCAAAAAAAGTACAAAAAATTTGAATGAATACTGTATTTTTACTTTTTTGATATCTTTAAAAATGACTGAAATATTCAAGCTCAAAGTGCGCTCTTCCGCTTGGAGCGATTTTCCGCGCGGATTTTGAAAATGTGACGTATAGATGACCCACGCTGAACTGTCCCACCAAACTCAATGACAGGGGGGCGCTACCATCGTTCAACTATATGGTTTCCAACATGGCAAAAATCTGAACCAGCGATCCGGTATTGACGGTGGCGCCCCACTGTCAATGTCATCGACAGGACAGTCCAGTATTTTGGAACTATAGTAACATGAAAAGCTGCATGTAAGATATTATCTGTGTGAAATGGTTAGAATGGTTAATAGGGCAGCCGAAGCTGGGATTTCGGGACTTACTAAAGAGTGGCAGACTAACATACAACATACTCTATCTTCGGTAATACTGGATGGATTGAGGTGAAATAAAAACTAGTGTAATGTATGTGATCTAAACTTAATATTACAACTTATGCGTGTTGTCCATTACTTAAGGTACTAACGGGGAAAAGAAAACCTTCAACATAGCTTCAAAAAATGAGCGCCCGGTAAGTTCCTTGTTTTATTGTAGTACCTAATAACATTGCCCCGGAACACATTGTCTGACGCGAACTCTCAAGACAATACCGGTCGCACGCGGCTCCACGCGGCAGTCGCGGCCGATGCTATGTAGAGAAAAACAGGTTGATCTTTTTTTTGAAGATATTATGAACATCTGTGACATTCATCAAATTACTTACAATGAAGTAGCGACGAATTGCAGAATTAGCAGCATGATCCAGTTGACGGATAAACTGGCGATAGCGTTGAACACAAACCCGCACAGCAGGGAGATGATGATGGTATTACGCCGGCCTCGAGTGTCGCCGATGTAGCCCCATACTGGGGAACCCAGCAATGAGCCTGGAGGAAAAAAAGGAATGAGGAACTTTGATGTATGAAAAGAGGAACCGACTCAGAGCTCCGATTACGGTAATTTTTAACGTCTCCAATCCAGACGCGCTTCATCGATTCTGTGATACGTGTGTACGATTGGTCAAAACAGCTGACGTACGCTTTTTTGTGTGTTTTGACCAATCGTATCGCAGAATCGATGAAGCGCGTCTGGATTGGAGACGTTAAAAATTACCGTAATCGGGGCTCTGCTTTCTTGGGAATAGACGAAATATTAACAGACATTAAATAAGTCCTGTATTAATTATGACACGTATCCGATGTAGGCCGCAAATTACCACAATTGGGAGGGCGGGCTCATAGTTCGTTTCGTCCGTTGGGACCAAAAGTTCTCAAGTGGCGACCACGGCCACGGACTAGAAGTAGTGTAGGCAGGACTCCCACTCGGTGGACCCACGATCCAGTTAAGGTTGCGGGAGGCTCTGCATGCGGGCAGTGCAAGACCAAATATAATCCTTGGGGGACCTTTGAGCAGTGGCGTAACTTTACCATCCGAGCCTCGTGGCAAATTATGTGCATAGGGCCCTTGGCGTAGATAGGGTTATTTTTCAAGGGGGGCCCGGGACCATTACGAGGGGGGGGGATTAGGGTCTAGGGCCGGGGCCCCCTCAGGTCGGGGACCGTGGCTTTTTGCCAGCCCTGTCACCTTATAGTTACGCCATTGCCTTTGAGGTGATTCTTCTTACCGACAATAGGGGCGGCCGCCAACAGTCCCTGCTGCCCACTCGTGGTGCCAAGCTCGCAAGCACTGGTGGGGATGATGAGGGTAGTGCTGTAGGCAATCGCAGCGAAGGCTATGATCAGGAACCCGGTCAGCGCCACCAGAAGGTAGCTGTAGAGACCAAAACCTGGAAAAAAGTTGTTGATTGACTGTTATTCTAGCTATCACCATCTTGCATAAGTCTGTCGCCATAACAACAATGTTAACAGCATTGTTGTGTTCCGGCAGTTAGAGGTAAGATAGTCAGTTCCTCCGTGGTTGAGGATTCCGGGTGAAGCTCGCTTCCACCTTCGGCCTGATCATCACATACCTTCAGGTGAGAAATGATCGAATTGCTCTGCTACCGTTAGCAGCGGGCCTTGTGTGAGTTTTTTGTTTTTTTCAAAAATGACATATAGGCGGTTATCATATAAAAAATCACGCGCGCGGAAGCGTTGTCAGTGTGAAGTGCCGCGCGTGTTTTCTATACAAACTGAGGTACTTGCATACAATAATTAAATCTGTCGCCCCGCGCTCCGGAGCGCGGCACAGTGTGATAACCGCCTAAATGTATGACGGATTGTGCGCAGTACAATCCGTCATACATTTAGACCGAATGTTGTAAACGTCAAGGAAATCACATGTACGTTCATTTAGAAAATAAAGTAAATTAAAAAAAATTGCACAAAATTTCCTTTAAATTGCAATACTTAAAGTTCTACAAAAAATTACAGTTTTCGTTTCCTTGAATTTTCAAAAGTGAATTTTCTTCTGGGCCACCCTGTACTTTGCACTATAGATTTGAAAGTAATAATTTATATGTATAATCATTATGGTATAAGATTTAGATAGAAAGATAGATAATAGTTTTATTTTAACGATTCATTCTCGATTTCACATTAATGAAATTAGTAAAAATATTTAATGTAGGTACTCGTATTTATCTTATTATCTTTTTTAGTACCTATGAAATCGCAGATTTTTTTTTCAGTATCTAGCTTTTAGATTCTAAGAGCTGATTTAATTTAGCTTAATGGTAATCAAAGATTTATTATGTAGTGATTAATTATAACTTGCGTGAGTGATAAGATTTAATACGTCATTTGCCTACGTAGATAATCGCGTGTTTATATCCCACCAAGGGACTTTGGTGTGTGATAAGCACTTAATGTCTTGGTACTACAATTATAGCTTTTAACACCTTAGGTATTATTGTTTCTTCTCCATCATCATCAGCAGGAGCACTGCCCTCTACAATTTGAGGCGATTGAAGGATTCTCTCTGGCCTGATTGGTTGAAGAGCTCTACCTACATCCACTATGCAGTGCCATAACTTTGCCGTTTGCTGTTTTTTTTTAGCAGTTTTAATTATTTTCGCGCACATTTTACTATCTTATCCGAAAACACAATTATTATTGTACTTAAGTAGTCCGAATCAATACTAAGGGTAAACGGTAATAATTACGGAATTATTCTGTTTCGTAAGAACATAAGCAAATTAAATTAATGTAGAGCAAAGGCCTTGGCATTATTTGTTGGTCAGTCGGTTGAGAGCGGCTATGCAGCTGATAGCTTTAAAGGGTACCTACCTACTAAGGTATTTGATCGGCACCCAGTACCTATTGAAGCAGTCTATTAGGTAGAGTTACATCAGAAACAACCTACCATATAAAGGCAGGCTAGGAGATTTGAATCTCTGGGGTGCGATGGTGAGGGACCTCCTCGTGGTGCACCCTGGGCAACGTCCGCGTGGTCTGTTCACGCGGGCGGCTAACTTCTCACCTGCGCGGCAGGTCTCGTCAACTCGGCGGGCCTGTCGGGCAACCCGTAACCCACAATTGAGTGGGCCGGGGGCCGTCGAGGCATTTGCCCGGGCCACGATGCAGGGGACATCTTTAAAAACCCCCACAGGTGGGCACTGGCGGGGCGTTTGCCCGGGCCCATTCTTTGGAGGGCCGCTCTCGGTACTTCTCTGATCAGCAGAGCTGACCGAGCAGCGGCATAGAGCAGACCGTAACCCGCTACGGCGGGCCGGGGGTCCTGTTTTACCAGGGCCGCGAGGAGAAAGCCTCTATAAAAACCAACTGGAGGAGGGAATTGGGGGTTCCCTCGAAGTCAGTGAGGCTTGCTCGTGAGCGAGCCTCTAGCCTGAGGCGGAGCTGCGGACGAATATCCAACCAGGACAATAACTCGCGGCTCCGTTTCTTTGGGCTCTGGTGGAAACCGTCGGGTTTTAGTGGGTAGGCCCCGCCTTTAGTGGGTAGGCGGGGAGAGTCCCACATAGCCCCCTGGTCCCCATAGACCAGTGGGTATGCGCAAAGCATTTCCCGACGAAAAAAAAAAAGGAGATTTGAATCTCTACAGAAAAAAGTTACTGGGTCAATTTGAAATCGTCATTTTTATTTTATGGATGGGGAATGATAAGTAACATAGAGGAATATGATGTAATTAAAATTAATAATTGTAATTAAAGTAAATAAATAAAAAATAAACAAATGATAAGTTAATGATGTTCGATGCAAATAAACGATATTTCAACCAGTATCAGTATAATAGGTTCCTCAAAAAATGTGTTTCCTTTTTTGAAAAAAAAAAAAAAAAAAAAAATATTTCAATTACTCTTAAGTATTTAATGTCTTTTTTAAGATTTTGATATTGGGTTGTTAGTTCATTTATTGTCACTGATTGTTCAAATGGATTTGTTAGAATAAAATACACATTATACGTACCAGCCTTATTAATCGCCTCTTCGAAAGGAATCCTTCCATCTGAGTACTGGAGGGTAGAGTTCTCGTCTCTATCATTCGAAGACATTTTAATTATAATTTATTTACACCAGCACTTTTAACACAATAAAATTGAGATTCTAAAACATTGAATTTATTTATTAATAAATCATAAATTAAAATAGACAAGACCGTTTATGATGCGAATGTAAGAACACTACATTAGGAATGCCAAATTGTTTATCTATGTAAAAAAGATAATAATTGTTCTGCGGCGAACAGGTTTGTATTCAGGGCGTATTACATGGCTTCTAAAAGGTTGCACCTATTATAGTAATTAATAATCAATTGTTAACACTTATAAGTACCATTACTGTTAAACCCTCAGTAATATCAAAAGACATGAATGTCACAAACCTATTTTGTAATCTACTATTTAATTTTGTAAATACAGACACGCGGCATCTCAAGCAAACACCATGTGATCAAAGAAGTGTGTATTTGATTGGTGGTAGAAGTCAATTAAAAGCAACAACGACAACTAATATTATTAAATATTCTGTCTGCGAAGGGTGTTATGATAGTCCATTTAAAGGACGAAGCACACTTAATCTACCTGGAAACGGATGGTAACCGTAGCAATTCGAGTATTCTTTATATGAAACTCCGTAATGCAACGCACACTTATCCGCACCGTAACATAAACGCCTCGCCACGCGGTTGACGACAGCGCAACGCAAGGCGATACGAGGTTGATCCCTTTCCGAGCTGATAAGTTATTTTTTTGCGCCCTTTATTCCCTGAATGCGGCCCTGTATCACACGCGAAATAAAGTGGCATTTATTAACAAAAATTACACAAATTGATGCAATCATTAACACGTGAAGTGATAAGAATACAAATGGATTATCGATCGCGTTCATTCTTTGAGAATTTGTTTACTTTTAAGAAAGTAACTAATCTACCGATGACTATCTTCAGTGTACGCACTAACCGCACATAAAATTGTACATTTTTTACTTGACCTAGTTTAAATTTAGCTAAGTAAGCTTTGCGTCATTGCTCGTCACTAAGCGTTACAATATTGGTGAATTCAATAAATCAGTGTAGGTAGGTTTAACACTCGTCGGGTTTGGTTTTATTAGTACGGTCATTCTCACGATTAGGCGTTCTCAGCCTAATTACCATATCATTTTTGAAATTTGGCTTAATTGACTTTAACGCATTTAAATATGAAACACATGAAAAGTACGAATTTAACAATCGTTAAGGCGTCAAATTATTCCAAGCGGTTTTCGCGTAAATGAGACCCAAAAATTTTATGGTCACGGTAATTAGATAAGGCTAATACTTAATCTAACGGTAATTAGAAAAAATATGTAAAATAGCAAGAAAACAATCTCTTGCATTGATAAATTTGTATATAAATATTAGCGTCATAAAAAACGCTGTAGGTACACTTAATAACCCTTTGAAAAAGGAAAACACTCATTTCTATCATTTATTGTATCAAGATATTTTCAGTATACTGCAATAATCGAGGCTATAACAGAAACACTTAGTTTCGGGCAGAAGGGGGCTACGTGTCACATTTTTTCATCAGAATCTTAATCATCATTTATTTGATTTCAATGTGGTACAAACGATTTAACGTACAGATAATGGATCAGGAGATCTCACAAATTTGATTTTTCGGATATGCATATTTTATATCGAAAAATTAATTAATGATTTAAGTGATTTTTCCTCTTTTTAATCTATCTGCGATCAGCCATCACCCATTATCAGATTAAATTGAATTTGTAATAATGACAATTCAATTTGTCACCTCGATTCTTTTACAATAAGTTTTCAGATTGATGCTATTCGCTTTCTCCTGAGCCTAAATGTCAAATATTATTATTTAGGCTTGTGTGCCCAAAAACAGAAAACGTCACGGGAATTAGGACTTTCGCTCGGACAAGCAGTTTTTTAATTCTAATTATTTACAGAATGGTTATATTGAATAGATATTTTGCTATGCGTAAGACAATCTTTTGTACTCTTTAAAATGTTGAACGGAGTAAACCATATCTATACGACATAAAAATTACAGCCAAGTTTTAACATTAAGTCGGTGTGCGGACGCGTAACGGTAATTAGAGAACAGAGGTTCATGAAATTAATTAAGTCACAAATACTTAAAATAGAGGCCTATGATTTAATGCACAACTGGATGGGGTTGTTAAGTAACATATAAAAATAATTGCATATCTCTAATTTGTCATTTTTAACGATTTAACAGCCCGGACATGCAAAAACTAGCTCATCTGAGAATGGCCGAGTACTAGCTGTCCTCGGAGTCACCATCCTTTCAGCGTCCCATAACCAATCCTTAATGAGTGGTTTACTACCGCAACATTCAGATTTCGCAGTCATTTTAAAATATCAATTATTTAATCAGGTATGATCGTGGTCTAAAACCTGCTTTGTTCTGCATTAAAATAATATTTTCGTCGAAAGTACATTTAAATTAGTTATTTTGAAAAGTTTTTCAGGCGTGTACTTATTGTACAATAATTAATTTTAGTGCTATTCTTGTTTATTAGAATAGAAGAATAGAAAATCAATTCATGTGTGCAGGGTACTTTATTTTATGTAAGTAGGTATTATTTATTTTCTTGTCACATGGTAAATACAGGTGGTAAATAATATTTTACCACCTGTATTTACCATGTGACAAGCAAATAAATAAATAACGAATCCGACATGTTATTGATAATTTCATACAATCAACAGCACCATAAAAACGCACGTTTTTGTTGCACTACATAAAATGCCACAGTGTTTAGCTCGATTAGGTCTGTCCATGATACATAAATAGAACACAGTAATCTAACATAATAAGTAATAGAACATAATCCTAGACTGCATCTCACTTAACAGCAGGTGCGTGCGACTGCGGTCAAATAACTGGCTTGTCATGCATAAAAAGGTACCACTTAGTAACTACCTACTGACGTAATTGTGCTTTAAATCTTCATTAAGTATACCAAACTTAACGTAAAATTGCTTCTATCCAAGAGTATAATGAAAACGCATGCGTATTGCGTGCACAGCGCACAAGAACTGCTTACGAGATTTGGGTCTTAGAAACGGACTTAGAGTTAATTGATGCAGGAGATAAATGGAATTATAATAGATTTGCATATTTGAATTACGTAATCTCAATACATAGTAATATGTCGGCATAGTTGTGTTACCTCAATACAATGTATATTTCAAGTAAGTAAACAGAATAATATCTAGTTAAAAAAAAGAATAATATCTATTTACTCTTAGCTATCTAGGTAATTAATTACTTATTTAGATTTTTGCTGATTGTGAGTATTATATTCTATTAATGCTGATAAGGTTCCGCTTGTTACAATCTATTTAGAATACGACAAACGTAGAACTAGTACATATAAATAAATAAATAAAATAAAAAATAAAAATAAAATAAAAAAGCCTTTTATTTCCTACAAATTAACTTTACAATGACTTTAGGTTTCTTAACTAAGTATATTTAGATACTACTAATTTTATTTAATTTAATAAATAAGTATTAATTAACCGTTGGTTTAGCTAGCATTAATTGGTTATGAATAGCTATTCAAATACCTGTCACAGTTTGTAGGAACCCCATTATTGGGTGAAGAACTAGTACATACCTACATATTATGTAACATAGTAAATTAATGTAAAAATATTACTTATGTAGATTGTAGGTACTTGAGACTCTACCAATACGTCCGGAAGAAAGTATTTAAAGAATACTTTAATTGGCTCAATTTAATTCAAATTAGGTAATATGCCTTAATTCTTATGATTGTAATTTTAACATATCAATCAAAATTCTAGACTCAGCTACATCAGCTACGACAATATTTAACTACTTATTCCATGTTGTCTCATAGTTGTAGAGTATGGGGGTCAATTTCAGGTGAGCTGTGCACACATTACTGGTTCCGTAGAGTTACCATGGCTACTTATTCATAGCTCGGAAAACCATATAAAAATATTGTACAAAACAAAACAATGCTAAACCAGTGTTAAATATTTATTTTGTATCGTAATTATAAATTCTTAGAAAATTACTTACGCTAGATCATCTCAGCTAAATCATACTCAAATATGATCTCATCACAGACAAAGACATGTAGGTAAATATGTAATAGGTACAAACACATAATTTCGCTGAAAATATTTAATAACTCTATCATTTTTAGGCTCTAAACTATCTTAATGTAATTAAAACTATTTAAAAAAATCTTAGAATTACAGTACTAAAATAAGCTTTTATGTTTGAAAGAGTAATTTTAGAAATCTCCTCTTGAGAACTTTTACAAATATTTTGAGGAAATGTATTTTAAAAAAACATGACTCCTTGCAGTTTCTACTGGTAGTAGATACTTAATATCTTTAATGTTTTTTTTTAATGCAAATAAGAGCTCTAAGTTATAGTAAGTATGCTATAGTGCAATTTAAAGCTATTATGTAATTCAATCATTAATTCAGAGAGTGAATATTAATCCCAACTAATATTATAAATGCGAAAGTAACTCTGTCTGTCTGTCTGTCTGTCTGTCTGTCTGTCTGTCTGTCTGTCTGTCTGTTACGCTTTCCCGCTTAAACCTCGCAACCGATTTTGATGAAATTTGGCATAGAGATAGTTTGAGTCCCGGGAAAGAACATAGGATAGTTTTTATCCCGGTTTTTGAAACAGGGACGCGCGCGATAAAGTTTTTCTGTGACAGACAAAATTCCACGCGGGCGAAGCCGCGGGCGGAAAGCTAGTAAGATCATAACTTGGTGGATGTTTCTGTCTTCTCCTCGCTTAGACGTCTATCATCCGGGAGGAACGATGCTACTATTGCTGAACCTGAAATTATAGGGAAATAAACTCATAAGTCGATTAATACTTACATTAACCAGCTATCGTTGGGGATACTAGGTATGCTGGGATAGTTTTTCTCAAGATCTTTAAAGGGTGCTTTTCTCAAAGGGCTTTATGCTGCCTTAACTAAGTATACACTCGCAAAGAGGGTAGCGAATATTTGAAATATAAATTTGAAGTCTGTGTCGGAGGTAATTGGTCGTAGTGTAATGTAGACCGACGATCTGATGAAAGCTTAGACAGTAGTTCGCGGGAAGCACCTGGGCAAAACCTAACCGCAAGGAAGGGCTTTGTATTGCAAAATGTGCAATTTGTATTGCACAAATTACAAATAGTCCCGTTAGCCCCTCGTGTTAAGCTAAATAAGCTTGTGTTACGAAGAGCCCCACCACAATAGTCGAGCGGCTGTGGGATTCGAACCCGCGTTCCTTGGATCTCGAGTCGGCCAGTCCGACCACTTCACCGTTGGGCTATCGTGGCTATAAAGACATTATGTGGCATTAGGTAAAAGACTAGGTAGTGGCTTGCTTACTGGCGAAGAGGGTAGCGAAGATGTAGAAACCAGCTTCGCAGTTCACGTCTCGAAGATAGTTGAGCACTTGGATGGAGATGACGGTGCCCACGCGCCCGCCAGTCAGCGGCAGGGCAATCGCTAGTGTTCTGCAAGGGACATTATATCAGTGAATTTTACTGAAAAAAATTCTAGATGCAATTATTAAAATACAGTATTTAAGTATTATCATTATAATTCTACAATCTTTGAGTAGGTAATACTTAATTCTTTCGGTCTGAAAGTTCAGAAAATCGATCCCAAGAACCCATCGAAAATCACTCTGTGCATACTCATTGCGGTTTGAATCAATCTGATCGTCAGGCCTAGCCACCTGTTGGTCTGATGATGTTCCATGTCGGATATGTATCTTATACAGGGTGGAAACGTTAAGTGATCTCACTCGATTATTTCTAAACTATACAAGATATCGAAAAACTGATTACTGATTCTGAAAGTGCTTTACGAGCTCTTTCAAACGATATCAGTAATAGGTTACAGAATCAACTGGATCTATCAGAAAATTCAATGTTTTCAGCCTCCATACTAAATGTATGCCACTATGCCAGCTACACAATATTAGAAGAGTTAATTTTTTTATTTTAAATAATAAACACTTAAAATTAATTCGTGAATTGCATTCTTATTTAAAATTATTCACGGAAAACATTGGTTTTAGGCTTTACTTGTTATAATATTATCAAGACATGAGTGCTATGATTGTGGCAGTATTAAATGTATGGAAGCTGAAAACATTGAATTCTCGAATAGATCCAGTTTATTTTATAACTTATTATTGGTACCATTGGATAGAGCTCATGAAGCACTTTTAGGATCAGTAAGCAGTTTTTGGATATCTTGTATGGTTTAGAAATAATCGAGTGAGATCACTTATCGTTTCCACCCTGTATTGTTTGACACCATCAGGATCGTGATCTAAGATCTTGTTATAGTTATTTTAAGTCTAAAGGAGGAGAGAGAGTATCTTTCATAATCTCACCTGAGATGAGTAGGGAAGATGGCCACTCCAATGGCGGTATACAGGCCGACCACGAGGAACCCTTGCAAGAAGAGTATGTACAGCGCCGCACTGGCCACNTTTGTATTACACAAATTACAAATAGTCCCGTTAGCCCCTCGTGTTAAGCTAAATAAGCTTGTGTTACGAATGGGCTCACCACAATAGTCGAGCGGCGGTGAGATTCGAACCCGCGTTCCTTGGATCTCGAGTCGGCCAGTCCGACCACTTCACCGTTGGGCTATCGTGGCTATAAAGACATTACGTGGCATTAATTAATTAGTGAAAACTCATAGGCTTGTGTAAGACTTATTATTTTTATTCTACCTGTATCATAATATAAGCTGTATGTTTTCCTAATAAAGAAAATAAAAAAAATAAAAATTAGGTAAAAGACTAGTGGCTTGCTTACTGGCGAAGAGGGTAGCGAAGATGTAGAAACCAGCCTCGCAGTTCACGTCTCGAAGATAGTTGAGCACTTGGATGGAGATGACGGTACCCACGCGCCCGCCAGTCAGCGGCAGGGCAATCGCTAGTGTTCTGCAAGGCATTACATCAGTGAATTTTACTGAAAAAAATTCTAGATGCAATTATTAAAATACAGTATTTAAGTATTATCATTATAATTCTACAATCGTTGAGTAGGTAATACTTAATTCTTTCGGTCTGAAAGTTCAGAAAATCGATCCTAAGAACCAATCAAAAATCACTGTGCATTCTCATTGCGGTTTGATCCAATCTGATCGTCAGGCCTAGCGACCTGTTGGTCTGATGATGTTCCATGTTGGATACGTATCTTATACTTTGACATGAGGATCATGGCCTAAGTTGTTATAGCCTAAACATAATTAAAGAAGGAGAGAGAGGGAATGGTCTATAACACTCACCTGAGATGCGTAGGGAAGATGGCCACGCCAATGGCGGTATACAGGCCGACCACGAGGAACCCTTGCAAGAAAAGTATGTACAGTGTCGCGCTGGCTATCGTGTTGGGCACCAGGTTGACCAGGATGCCGCAGACGCCGCAGAAGGCAGTGCCGATGATGACCAGGTTCCGACGGCCTAGCTTATTGACTACCTGTTCCGAAAAAAGTAGGTACATTGCCAATTTATTGCTATATATCTAAGATTGATATAGGTACTAGCGATATGTGTTTCTTTTGTCTCTTTTGTTTGGTGTTCAATAAGGAATACCTATCTATCTAGGTATCTAATGGTCAAAGTAGGACTTACCAGAGCGATCAGCTACCTGTTCCGAAAAAAGTAGGTACATTGCCAATTTATTGCTATATATCTAAGATTGATATAGGTACTAGCGATATGTGTTTCTTTTGTCTCTTTTGTTTGGTGTTCAATAAGGAATACCTATCTATCTAGGTATCTAATGGTCAAAGTAGGACTTACCAAAGCGATCAGCAAGTTGATACTGGACTGCAAAGCACAAGAAGCCAGTACAATCAGCATGGCTGTGCTGTTCAACGAGCAGGGGACCAGGTCAGGCTGGAAGAGAAAAGAAGATCGTTTACTTAAATTGTCTCCAATAAATGAGTTTCAACTTGCTTAGATTGTGTTAAACGGGTGCTCAAGTGGACACCAAGTCGATACGTGAACATACTTTCCGATGCAAGTTTAGTGTAGGACCCCCTAGCTCGATAAGATGATGCCCATAAGAGCTAGGAAAATAGCGGAAAATCGCTTCTTAGCATTCTTTCACATTCTACAGTGGACTTGAGCTGGCTAACATTGAGAGATCAAAAAGTCGGTTTTTACAACAAATACTCTACTGTTTTATAAATAACTAGCTGACCCGGCGAACTTTGTTCCGCCTTAATGGCAATCAATAACGGGATAAAAAGTATCCTATGTCCTTCTCCTGGCTCTAAACTACCTCCCTGACAATTTTCAGCTAAATCGGTTCAGCCGTTCTTGAGTTATAAGTGGAGTAACTAACACGACTTTCTTTTATAATATAGAAGAAGAAGATGTTTTCATTCTATTCTATTCGCACTCACGTCTGGCGCAGTTTCGAGTCCGGCCCGAAGCACGGCGCACAGGGTCATATTCATGGGCGCCCCAGCTTCCATCATCTGCATGAACTGGTTCGCGATCGTCGGGAACCAGATCTGCATGGAACCAACCCTGGAATTTAACGTCAACTGCAATGGTTTCATGTGTGGCATCTTTTAGATATAATTATGGTCGACCATACACGGAGCCACTATACAGGGTGGAAACGATAAGTGATCTCACTCGATTATTTCTAAACTATACAAGATATCAATAAACTAGTTATTGATCCTGAAAGTGCTTCATGAGCTCTATCAAACGGTATTAATAATAGGTTACAGAATAAACTGGATCTATCCGAAACTTCAATGTTACCAGCTTCCATACATTTGGTAAAGTCACATTATTTTAAAAACTACATATGATATCGTAAAACTGATTACTGATTCCAAAAGTGCTTCACAAGCTCTATCCAATGTTATCAATAATAGGTTGGTTACAGAATAAACTGGATCTAACCAAAAATTCAATGTTTCCTTCTTCCATACATTTAGTACTACCACAGTCATGACACTCATCTCTTGACAATATTATGTATATGGCAAGTAAAGCCTAAAACCAATGTTTTTCATAAATAATTTAAAATAAGAATACAATTTACGAGTTTATTTTAAGTGTTTATTATTAAATTAAAAAAATTACACTTCTAATATTGTGTGTCTGGCATACATATAGTATGGAAGCTGGAAACATTGAATTTTCAGATAGATCCACTTTATTCTGTAACTTATTATTGGTACCGTTTGAAAGACAGGTTTTAACGCGATACACGGATAGGTAACATTGAAATATTACCTGTATTTGCCTGACGTTTTAACAGAGTTGCACGGCCGGTGCACCTACTCGTATCTGCGTATCGCGTTAAAACCTGCTTAAATTAATTCAAATAATTCCACGACGTGATGTGCCCAACTTCTCTATCTCAATCTATCGACTGTACATACAATTCAATTTACTCTTAACTTTGAATGTATATAAGTAGGTACTTATATCTTACCCTTCCAACACCAGCAGCGTAGTCATGATCACCGTGTATTTAAGTAGAGGCGCTTTGAACAGCGGCACGATCTGGTCTTTGGCTGATGCACGTTGACTCACGATTTCCTTCTTATCTTCCTTAAGCAGACTTTTAACCTAAAATAATATAGTTATTGACTAATATGCCTTGCACTTGAATCGTCTACATCTATTTATCTTTTTGGTTGTTGTACCACCAGTCCACCAGACCAGGTTATTAGGTAAATAGTTCAATGATCTAGCTATTCAAAAAGTATCACGAGTACTATGCGGTATTTGAGAACCTACTTGGTATTCTTCCTTCACCCTCCACTGATTTCTTCTATGAATGACCTTTAAAATTTCCAATGCCTTCTCTTCTTGGCCTCTAGCATAGAAGAACTTGGGGCTCTCAGTCAAAAAGTAAAAGAAGATTGCCATGATGATACTTGGTATGGAGTACACAGCCTGCAGCGTCCTCCAGGAGTTCCAGTAAATCCCCAGGGCAGGAAGGTATAAGGAGAACGATAGAGGTATGATTGCTAAGGCTAGCACTGAAAAAGGAAGTAAGGTTTCAATGTGGTTATTGGCGATGAGCTTATAAGAATGAACCTGAGAATTGATTGGCCAGTTGGCGCCACTGGCGAGTAAGGTTCAGCCCCTTATGGCTAAGATAGTAAAACGCCAACTGGTGAATGCTGAAGCGATAGGGATATATCGCATTTGCAATCAACTAGTGAGCGCAACTATGGAAACCCTGTTTCGATAAAAAAACCCGAATACGAGTGTAAACAATTGCTATATTATTTAGTGATATGAAGCAGCATTATTTAAAATGAGTCGTTAAGTATAGGTATCTAAGGTCTTACTTGCCATGACGCCATTGGCGAGCAGAAATAAGCTGGTCACTAACAGCACAGACAGATTCCTCTTGGCCATCGGAATATTCTCACTAAGTAGGGTCATCGCCAGCATGAACTGGCCTGCTGATCTGCAACAGGGTAATAAAAATGGCCATAGTTAGATGTACGAGTACTATACCTATATGAAATGTTTCTTTAATAAATTTATCTTCAGATGTCTTACGAGTTCCCGAAACCCTACCTCATTATCCACTGCGGTATTAGTACTCAATGTTCGAATAATCTTTAGTACTACGCAAGCAATGTAAACTGTTTGACATGTCGCGAGCAATGTGTTCTGTTTTTGAGCATGGTGCGACACCGGCCACGCCCCCTTTTCACATCTTCCTTTAGGAAACTAAACCACAGATCATAGAAATATGATCTGTGGTTCTTACTCACGCGATTGTAGCCAGCAGCTGGAAGGCGAGCAGCATCACCCAGTTGACGGAGATGCTGGTGATAAGATTGATGAGCGCCGCTGCGAGGAGAGACAGGATGAGCGTGCTTCGCCGGCCCCTGGTGTCTCCTATGTAGCCCCAGAATGGGGCGCCTATCATAAGGCCTGGTGAAGAAAACAGATGATGAGAGCCACATGGTTGGGTATTTATTGGCAGTCGAGCTCTACAGCTCTACTCTACAGGATCTACATCCTGATTAAACAGGAGTTGCAGTTGTGGGAACGAGAGGTGGGTTTTTTCATTTTGCTCTGCTCCTAGTCATAGCGTGATAATATTTATATCCTAATATAGCCTTCCTTTATATCACGGTTACATGAAGCTTTTTGTCTCTGTTCAGTTTCTTTACTCATAGCTTTAAAAGTCTATTTTCAAAGCTCTAGTCGACTGGCTAAATAAGAGTAGGCGTGACACCCAAAGTGGTCAAAAAGTATACAACATAAACTTATTCCAACTGTACCAAAGACGTGTTGCGAATTTTTGGCTACTTTTAGGTGTACCTACCTAAATAAGTATTTGACGCTGACTGTTCTACGCATTTATGGCGGTCCTTCAGTGGCGAAAGATAAGAGTTTTTTTTATTAGTGCTACTGAAATGCACTTGCAACTGGTGCTAGCGGTTTACTCCAATTGGAATCCGTTTGTTCCGGCGTTTCTTCTCAACACTTGCCATATGTTTGTCTTGAAGCGCTGGTAGGGCCTAAAAGATAAGGAGACATGTAAAGTGCGCCATAAGGGCTACCTTTTCTTTTTTATTATTTACTATATTTTGACGTTCATAAGTGCCACCTTAATTTCGAACTCCTCCTATGTTCTTCTGATTAATTTCGTTGCGGGTCCAATGACAGTTTAACTTTCCCCCGGGACAAACTTGACCATCATTGGTTGGGTTTTTGTGGCGGTCAAGCTGTAGATCCTGGCTACACAGGAGTTGCAGTGGTGGGAACGAGAGGTGGGAATAGTCCTGCAAGTGCCACTTGTGGTCTAAACTGAATAAATATTTTTGATTTTGAATGCGGTGTTTTAGATGGGGATTTTGTGGGTGTTCATTTGGAGTTCTGTACTAACCGACAATGGGTGTAGCAGCGATGATGCCCTGCTCGGCGATGTTGGTGTCGAGCTCGCACGCGCTGGTGGGCACGATGTAGGTGGTGCTGTAAGTGATGCACGCGAACGCTATGATCGCGAACCCCGCCATCACCACGTAGATCAGGCTGTACAGGCCGAACCCTGGAAATTGTGTGAATTCTATCAGAATTCAGTTTATTACGCGCGTATTCACAAACATTACTATGAGGTCTCACAGTGCGCGTGGACGCACAGGGTGACGCAATATGAAAGAATCACAGAGCTCTATTCAACGCGTTCGAAAGCATCGTTTGTGAATACAGGCGTGAGACTGTTATTAAAAAGTATACGAGTAAATAAATTGTTAAACTAGAAGCAGCAAGACATTCTTGAAGGGTTAATAAATAAATAAGCCCCAAATTAACCAGAGCGTGTATTATGGTTTCTGCATAATGGGAAAGCATAGAAATTAAATGGGTTACATATATATTTTTTCCAGCCAGTGGACGTCATTTGACTGAAACGAACGAACGAAATTATTGCTCCCAAAAAGAATCGATAGTTTGTTTACCTTATGTTTTTCTCTCTTGGTCGAAGACAACTTCATTTAAAGGTTACCTATATTTTTATACAGGGTGTCCCAATAAGTAGTGTCAAGCCGAAGCCTAGAGGTAGAGCATCACTTGGGCTACCCAAATCACCGTGACTTTTGATAGTTTTCGAGTTATGTTTTTTTTTACAACATAGAGGATTTTAGTTTACATTCGTGTTATGGATGTAAATACAAGATTTGTTAGATGCATTTTCCGATATTTTTATTTTCTTGTATAAAAAATCCGATCGACTATTTGCACAGAAAAAAACAATCATAACTCGAAATCTATCAAAAATTGCGGAACATATAGGTACATGGGGGTGATTTGGATATCCCTAGTGATGCTCTACCTCTGGGCTTTTGGGAATACTTTTTGGGACACCCTGTATAAATTACCTGTTTTATCGAGGGCATCCTCAAAAGGTACATTCCAAGTTTTACTCATTTTCACTGATGTTTATGACTTCATATAAGAGTACTTCTGTGTCGCGAAAACGATTTCAAAATGACACTATTCGTCTCTCGTCCTCGAAGTATCAATCAACACTGAACAATAAGATAAAGATAGGTACACTATGAAATGCAATAAAGTATTAGAGATAAAGATAATTTATTCACCGAGTGTCGAGTAGGGTAGATAGGGTACAGTTGTAACAACTCGCATGTTATCTAACAATGTTCGGTAGGTGAGGGGCACAATTAGAATGGCATACGGGCGACTCCATACCACCTTATTCGTCTTGTCACCCGTACCCTTTCCTTTGTACCCCTCGCCTGCCAAGCAACAGTCAAGTTGTTACAACCGTACCCTGTTACAATCGTACCTAGTCTCCCCTATTGAGTCGAAATGTGAAAATTGTCTTTTGAAGTAGAATCTTTACGATTGGCAGAGATAAGCAGGCAATAAACTTAGCACTAAAAGTATTCAGATAACTTATAAAGCGTTATAAACAGTGGCTCTCAAACATTTACACAATAGGCTGAGTTGCATCACCTAACTTTAACAGTACCTAACTATAAAAATAATCGGTGTTTTTTGTATGGAATTTGGCAGATTTTTGACGTCTGTTAAAGTTGAAAGTAAGATGGTGCAACTCAACCATAATGACTAAAATAATTACCTAAGTCAGACAAAGGGTCAAAAAGAGGTATATTCCTCGAAGCGCACCCATTGACAGCACTCTGAGTTGGTCCCAGCATGTCAGGGAAGTCAGTAGGTANCAGCTAATAAGAGAAGATTTTGTCACCGAGTTTGATTTAAGACTTGCGAGGTTCTCACTTAGTGTGGTTATTGTCAAGACCATGGACTTCATGGAGATCAGATCAAATGCAAGTGCTTTACGAGGGTCCATTTTGGCTATTTCTTTTCTTTAGCTTAGCCATCTCTCTTAGCGATAGTTCTTTCGTTTCAGCCGAAAGACGTCCTGCGCCGCTCGCATCCAGGCACTTCCTGCGACCTTCCCCAAATCGTCGGTCCACCTAGTGGGAGGCCTGCCCACGCTACGTCTTCCGGCTCGTGGTCGCCACTCAAAAAATTTACTGCCCCAGCGGCCATCAGCTCTACGAGATATGTGCCCCGCCCACTGCCACTTGATTTTAGCGATTCTGTGGGCTATGCCAGTCACTTTGTCCTCCTGCGTCTTTCGTTCTCAATTAGCGTAGTAGGAATCAATCTTCTACTTTGAACTTGAGGAGGGTAAGCGGAAACATGGCGGTCAACTCCTCAGATAGTCAAGTACAAAGATATCCAAAAGCAGCATACGAAAATATGCAAAATGAGTCCTTTCAAATCACAATGGGAAGGTTTGGCAGCACAACACCTAGAATGGCGGGAGATTGTGTTGTGTAGCGGCGAGTCCGCGAATTCAACGAGCAGCGCACAACGAACTTGACGCAAAACGCGATGATGTAAATCCCGTCCATCTGCCGCCATTCACTATAATTATGTTGGCGGCGGGTAATTACTCTCAATATGCGAGGAGTTTGCCGCGAAAATCGGCTATGTAAGCCATCTTCGGGCGCACCAGCGCCGCTAAGACAGCTAAGTCGAAATCGGTCGGATGAATCATCATCATCAGTAGGAATCAAAGGCAGGCATAGCTGCAAGTCTCGGATCAAGTCCAATGCTTGACCTTATTTTTTTGATTGAATGAGAGTTTTCGCGATTGAAAAATCCGCCAGATGGCAATACGTAGACGCGAGGTCCAAATGCTGCATGATTGGTTATTTTTGACATGACATTGACAGATATGTCAAAATCCACCAATCATGCAGCATTTGGACCTCCCGTCTACGTATTGCCATCTGGCGGATTTTTCAATCGCGAAAACCCTTACTGTGGATGTTGTTGGATTATCCGTGTCAATGGGTTTAAATAAACCAGATCGTCATGTAGCAAAGGTCTGAGATTTTTCTTGTCAGTTCGCACTCATGTATTACCGGACCTAATAAGCAGAGAACACTTTGAGGGAGGTGCTTTATTGCCTTCCAGAGGTTGTGGTTCCCATTTGCATTCCGAGACACATTTGGCAATCTCTGTGTGAGTGATTCGCTTAAAGTATAGTCCAATAGTGTGTGGGTTATCTGCCAGATGAAGGCGGGGATTTTTTTCTTGACAGCAAGAGGGACCTTCGCCTCGCGATCAATTATTTACTAGACCAAGCAGTAAGTTGAATAATGTACTTGATTAACAGATTTGTCCACTATGGGACTATCCGAATCAAGAACGTGCAGGATGTGCCAAGAGTCAGTTGAAGCGCCACTACACATTCTCACGGACTGCGGACTTTTGATGCGCAAGCAGAGCTTACACCTGGGCAAACACATCCGAAGCCCACAAGATGTAAAACATATCGCCCCCCAAAAGATACTGCAATTCCTAATGGATGCAGGACTCGGAGGCGAACTGTAANCCCTCCCACCACCCCCTTGGTGCTTACGTAATACTTGAACGGCCCCTATTTATAAGAATGCAACTGAGAATTGATTGGCCAGTTGGCGCCACTGTAAGGTCCGGTCCCTTGTGGCTAAGATACTCGTAGTAACGCCAACTGGTGAATGGTGAAGCGATAGGGATATCGCATTTGCAATGAACTAGTGAGCGCAACTATGGAAACCCTGTTTCGATAAAAAAAAAACCCCGAATACGAGTGTAAACAACTCCTATAATTATTTAAATAAATAAATAAATATCCTTGGAAATTTTACACAGCGCTTCTAGTCCCAAACTAAGCAAAGCTTGTACTATGGGTACTAGACAACGGATATAAACATACTTAAATACTTTTTTTTTGTAAATACATACATATTATACACAGAAATTTAGTGGTATGAAGCAGAGCCCCGATTACGGTAACTTTTAACGTTTCCAATCCAGACACGCTTCTCGATTCTGCGATACGATTGGTCGTTCAACAGCGTACGTCAGCTGTTTTGACCAATCGTATCGCAAAATCAGAAACGCATCTGGATTGGAGACGTTAAAAATTACCGTAATCGGGGCTAGAGGTGGGCGCCGATATAAAATTGGTCGGCGGCGGCGCGCCGACTTTTTGACCTCGGCGGCGGCGGCGTCGGCGGCGTGACCTTGTATGACCTTTGTTCATTAGGTTTTTTTTTTAAATCTGCTTTTTTAGTATCTGCCGTCAAGACTAATCATGTGATTTGCAGTTGGTTGGGGTTTGAGCTACTAAAGCAGTGGTTTACACTAAGGCAGTGGTGATATTAGTGGTGGTGGTAGTAAATTAGCTCTCTTGATCATATATACTTTGATATTTGGATAGCGGGTTTGACTGAGATCAGGTTCTCGTGTATTTCCTAAAGGCAAGCGTACCAATGTGCCGATAAAAGTACCCTTAACATGTATTTTTGAGCTCTTTAAAGGCACATAGTTAATGTTGGATTAGCTGACTGTCGGTGGAATATTATATTCAGTTCTGTTTTATTTATTTATGGTCTTTCCATGTCATCCTACGGTCCAGGTACGGTACTCCAGCTCTGCAGCTAAAAAGAGAAGATTTTGTCACCGAGTTTGATTTAAGACTTGCGAGGTTCTCACTTAGTGTGGTCATTGTCAAGACCATGGACTTCATGGAGATCAGATCAAATGCAAGTGCTTTACGAGGGTCCATTTTGGCTATTTCTTTTCTTTAGCTTAGCCATCTCTCTTAGCGATAGTTCTTTCGTTTCAGCCGAAAGACGTCCTGCGCCGCTCGCATCCAGGCACTTCCTGCGACCTTCCCCAAATCGTCGGTCCACCTAGTGGGAGGCCTGCCCACGCTACGTCTTCCGGCTCGTGGTCGCCACTCAAAAAATTTACTGCCCCAGCGGCCATCAGCTCTACGAGATATGTGCCCCGCCCACTGCCACTTGATTTTAGCGATTCTGTGGGCTATGCCAGTCACTTTGTCCTCCTGCGTCTTTCGTTCTCAATTAGCGTAGTAGGAATCAATCTTCTACTTTGAACTTGAGGAGGGTAAGCGGAAACATGGCGGTCAACTCCTCAGATAGTCAAGTACAAAGATATCCAAAAGCAGCATACGAAAATATGCAAAATGAGTCCTTTCAAATCACAATGGGAAGGTTTGGCAGCACAACACCTAGAATGGCGGGAGATTGTGTTGTGTAGCGGCGAGTCCGCGAATTCAACGAGCAGCGCACAACGAACTTGACGCAAAACGCGATGATGTAAATCCCGTCCATCTGCCGCCATTCACTATAATTATGTTGGCGGCGGGTAATTACTCTCAATATGCGAGGAGTTTGCCGCGAAAATCGGCTATGTAAGCCATCTTCGGGCGCACCAGCGCCGCTAAGACAGCTAAGTCGAAATCGGTCGGATGAATCATCATCATCAGTAGGAATCAAAGGCAGGCATAGCTGCAAGTCTCGGATCAAGTCCAATGCTTGACCTTATTTTTTTGATTGAATGAGAGTTTTCGCGATTGAAAAATCCGCCAGATGGCAATACGTAGACGCGAGGTCCAAATGCTGCATGATTGGTTATTTTTGACATGACATTGACAGATATGTCAAAATCCACCAATCATGCAGCATTTGGACCTCCCGTCTACGTATTGCCATCTGGCAGATTTTTCAATCGCGAAAACCCTTACTGTGGATGTTGTTGGATTATCCGTGTCAATGGGTTTAAATAAACCAGATCGTCATGTAGCAAAGGTCTGAGATTTTTCTTGTCAGTTCGCACTCATGTATTACCGGACCTAATAAGCAGAGAACACTTTGAGGGAGGTGCTTTATTGCCTTCCAGAGGTTGTGGTTCCCATTTGCATTCCGAGACACATTTGGCAATCTCTGTGTGAGTGATTCGCTTAAAGTATAGTCCAATAGTGTGGGTTATCTGCCAGATGAAGGCGGGGATTTTTTTCTTGACAGCAAGAGGGACCTTCGCCTCGCGATCAATTATTTACTAGACCAAGCAGTAACTTGAATAATGTACTTGATTAACAGATTTGTCCACTATGGGACTATCCGAATCAAGAACGTGCAGGATGTGCCAAGAGTCAGTTGAAGCGCCACTACACATTCTCACGGACTGCGGACTTTTGATGCGCAAGCGGAGCTTACACCTGGGCAAACACATCCGAAGCCCACAAGATGTAAAACATATCGCCCCCCAAAAGATACTGCAATTCCTTATGGATGCAGGACTCGGAGGCGAACTGTAAGGAAAATAGCGGCGATCACAATAGATCGGTACTGGTCGCAGTGATACTAGGACTTTATTGAACTAGAATAGCTGCTCAACTCAATAAAAAAATAGTTCTTCTGCGTTTAAAACACAAATTAGTACAGTATAGGAAAGGAATAAATTTCAAATAGTTTGTACCGTATCAGTATCGGCGCGCCGACAGCTGGTCGTCGGCGGCGGCGGCGTGAAAAAATTCGCGGCGGCGGCGGCGCGCCGGCGTGGCGCCCACCTCTAATCGGGGCTCAGCATTATTTAAAATGAGTCGGTAAGTTTAGGTCTCTAAGGTCTTACTTGCCATGACGCCATTGGCGAGCAGGAATAAGCTGGTCACTAACAGCACAGACAGATTCCTCTTGGCCATTGGAATATTCTCACTAAGCAAGGTCATCGCCAGCATGAACTGGCCTGCTGATCTGCAACAGGGTAATAAAAATGGACATAGTTAGATCTACTACCCGATATGAAATCTTTAAATTCTTTTCAGATGTCTATTACGAGTTACCGAAGATAATCCTACCTCATTTCCACTCATTTACTGTTATGAGAAGGTATCAGGAACATACCCAGCAATTCATAGTAACGTATCTTTTACTCGTATTGAGGGCTGAATCTGGAAACCTCATGTTGGCTCTAATTTGTGGCTAGGGCCAAATTTTTAGTACTACGAGCTCAGAAAGTTCCGCAAATTGATCAGTGCGAACACTTTTGACTCTGGACTCTACACGAATATAGCATTAGAGTGTACAACTACAAAACAACACCAGCATATTTCCTGTAGTTTTCATACATTTTATACAGACTGGGGCCGCCACACGAAAATATAAGAAGACTACAGGAAATATTATGCCAGTTGTTTTGTGGTAGTGGTCCGTGTGCCTGTGGGACCCTTAGGTTGGTTCTTACTCACGCGATTGTAGCCAGCAGCTGGAAGGCGAGCAGCATCACCCAGTTGACGGAGATGCTGGTGATAAGATTAATGAGCGCCGCTGCGAGGAGAGACAGGATAAGTGTGCTGCGCCGGCCCCTGGTGTCTCCTATGTAGCCCCAGAATGGGGCGCCTATCATAAGGCCTGGTGAAGAAAACAGATGATGAAAGTCACATGGTTGGGTATTTATTGGCATCCTGATTAAACAGGAGTTGCAGTTGTGGGAACGAGAGGTGGGTTTTTCATTTTGATCTGCTCCTATTCATAGCGTCATGGTATTTATATCCTACTATGGCCTTCCTTTGTCACAGTTAAGTGAAGCTTTTTGTCTTTGTTCAGTTTATTACTTATAGCTTTAAAAGGCTATTTTCAAAGCTCTAGTCGACTGACTAAATAAGAGTAGGCGTGACACCCAAAGTGGTCAAAAAGTATACAACATAAACTTATTCCAACTAGACCAAAGACGTGTTGCGAACTTTTTGGCTACTTTTAGGTGTACCTACCTAAATAAGTATTTGACGCTGACTGTTCTACGCACTTATGGCGGTCCTTCAGTGGCGAAAGATAAGAGTTTTTTTATTAGTACTACTGAAATGCACTTGCAACTGGTGCTAGCGGTTTACTCCAATTGGAATCCGTTTGTTCCGGCGTTTCTTCTCAACACTTGCCATATGTTTGTCTCGAAGCGCTGGTAGGGCCTAAAAGATAAGGAGACATGTAAAGTGCGCCATAAGGGCTACCTTTTCTTTTTTATTATTTACTATATTTTGACGTTCATAAGTGCCACCTTAATTTCGAACTCCTCCTATGTTCTTCTGATTAATTTCGTTGCGGGTCCAATGACAGTTTAACTTTCCCCCGGGACAAACTTGACCTTCATTGGTTGGGTTTTTGTGGCGGTCAAGCTGTAGATCCTGGTTACACAGGAGTTGCAGTGGTGGGAACGAGAGGTGGGAATAGTCCTGCAAGTGCCACTTGTGGTCTAAACTGAATAAATATTTTTGATTTTGAATGCGGTGTTTTAGATGGGGATTTTGTGGGTGTTCATTTGGAGTTCTGTACTAACCGACAATGGGTGTAGCAGCGATGATGCCCTGCTCGGCGATGTTGGTGTCGAGCTCGCACGCGCTGGTGGGCACGATGTAGGTGGTGCTGTACGTGATGCACGCAAACGCTATGATCGCGAACCCCGCCATCACCACGTAGATCAGGCTGTACAGGCCGAACCCTGGAAATTGAAAGAAAAAAAGAAATATTTATTACGATGAACATCACTCAGAGAACAAAGAAAGTATACGGAAAAAAGACAGAAATAGCACATAAATATTACAAGGAAATAAAAAGTGAACTGAGAAATTGTAGTATGTTGATTCTATCAGAGTTCAATTTATTACGCCCGTATTCACAAACATTACTATGAGGTCTCACAGTGCGAGTGGACGCACAGGGTGACACAATATGAAAGAATCACAGAGCTCTATTCGAAGCAGCAAGACATTCTTGAAGGGTTAATAAATAAATAAGCCCCAAATTAACCAGAGCGTGTACCTATTATGGTTTCTGCATAATGGGAAAGCATAGAAATTAAATGGGTTAGTTATTAATCATTATTTATTTAAATACATCATTATTCCGGCCAGTGGACGTCATTTGACTGAAACGAACGAACGAAATTAATGCTCTCAAAAAATTCGATAGTTTGTTTACCTTATACGTACGTATTTTTTTCTCTCTTGGTCGGAGACCACTTCATTTAAAGGTTACTATATTTTTATACAGGATGTCCCAATAAGTAGTGTCAAGCCGAAGCCTAGAGGTAGAGCATCACTTAGGCTACCCAAATCACCGTGACTTTTGATAGTTTTCGAGTTATGATTTTTTTACAACATAGAGGATTTTAAGTTTACATTCGTGTTATGGATGTAAATACAAGATCTGTTAGATGCATTTTCCGATATTTTTATTTTCTTGTATAAAAAATCCGATCGACTATTTGCACAGAAAAAAACAATCATAACTCGAAAACTATCAAAAATCGCGGAACATACATGGGGGTGATTTGGATAGCCCGAGTGATGCTCTACCTCTGGGCTTCGGCTTGACACTACTTTTTGGGACATCCTGTATAAATTACCTACCTGTTTTATCGAGGGCATCCTCAATAGGTACATTCCAAGTTTTACTCATTTTCACTGATGTTTATGACTTCATATAAGAGTACTTCTGTGTCGCGAAAACGATTTCAAAATGACACTATTCGTCTCTCTTCCTCGTAGTATCAATCAACACTGAACAATAATATAAAGACAGGTACACTATGAAATGCAATAAAGTATTAGAGATAAAGATAATTTATTTACCGAGTGCTGAGTAGGGTAGACAGGGTACAGTTGTAACAACTCGCATGTTATCGAACAATGTTCGGTAGGTGAGGGGCACAATTAGAATGGCATACGGGCGACTCCATACCACCTTATTCGTCTTGTCACCCGTACCCTTCCCTTTGTACCCCTTACCTACCGAGCAACAGTCCAGTTGTTACAACCGTACCCTGTTACAAACTTGACCTTCATTGGTTGGGATTTTGTGGCGGTCAAGCTGTAGATCCTGGCTACACAGGAGTTGCAGTGGTGGAAACGAGAGGTGGGAATAGTCCCGTTTAACCGTACCCTGTTACAATCGTACCCAGTCTCCCCTATTGAGTCGAAATGTGAAAATTGTCTTTTGAAGTAGAATCTTTACGATTGGCAGAGATAAGCAGGCGATAAACTTAGCATTAAAAGTATTCAGATAACTTATAAAGCTTTATAAACAGTGGCTCTCAAACATTTACACAATAGGCTGAGTTGCACCACCTAACTTTATAGTGTGTATAACAATACAATAGGTGTTTTTTGTATGGAGTTGACAGATTTTTGACGTTTGTTAAAGTTGAAAGTAAGATGGTGCAACTCAGCCATAATGACTAAAATAATTACCTAAGTCAGACAAAGGGTCAAAAAGAGCTATTTTCCTCGAAGCGCACCCAATTACATCTGCTAAGTTGAATCAAAAGTACCAGGGCAACATAACATAGTTTTTCAGTATTTTAGATGAAACTCTATCATTATTATTCTATGGTATCGTGGCAGCTTTGTCTAAAGTTTTAGAAACAATGCTATAGTTCCAAAATACTGAACTGTCCTATCGATGACATTGACAGCGGGGCGCCACCGTCAATACCGAATCGCTGGTTCCGATTTTTGCCATGTTGGAAACCATAAAGTTGAACGATGGTAGCGCCCCCCTGTCATTGAGTTTGGCGGGACAGTTCAGCGTGGGTCATCTATAACGTTGTAGGATAATTTATCCAACAACAATATATTTTTATTGAACGGCTCAATTTCTTTATTGACTTTCATTAGCGTCAATCAATTTGGATAAATATTTGATAACATGTTTATCATTATCATGTTCATAAATAAACGGTTCGCAATTGAGATAAAGATGCATAATAACTACATTATTATGTAACTGAAGCATTTTTATGGCTTGTTATAGACCCCGAATCTTCAAATCCGTGCTTGGCGCATCTTCCAATATTTGAGTAACAGCCTAACAGCTAAGATGCTAGTGGTAAAAACTAAAACTATGAACACAATTTTGTCTTCCTTGGAATCGCTGTTGGTTGGTTTTCCTACTCGTGGACGTTTGTGATAAATAAAAGGAGATTAAATATTTTTTTAATAGTTTTTATTGAAAATACTACTTACAATCTATTTCTTACATGTATGCATGATCACATCTCATCCATCAATACAACATCCTATTTTAAATTTTAATCAGTCAATCAGGTACAAAATATTTTCGACTTCTGGCTATATCATAAACAAATAATTCCAATGGTAAACTTTCATAAAACACTCTAGTTTGAGAAATGTCACAGTCATCAAGTTGATCTAGATTCACTCACCATTTCACTCATACTCGTACAAACACTATAGACTATAGATACAGTCGACTATAGATACTCGTACCTTAACTACATAATTATTGCGCTTTTTGAACTTTCAAAACTTTCATTTCATGGAAATCAAAGTTTGCCCGTAGACAAGAAGTTTCTTCTCAATGTGACCTTTTTCTCATTGTAACAAACACCTGGAAAAATTACTACGAAATCAGAATTTGTTTTTTCTTGTCTGTGGGTTTTATGAGACACTATAAATCAGTCTTCTAATTAAATATCTACAATAATCCTAGTGCTGCTCATTTCGATTCCTCCTGCAGTTTCTTATCGTTTGGCAGGAAACAGGCTACGGCGATTGCACCTGTAACAAATACAGAAACACTGTTATAGTAAAATTTAAAAAAGTAAAAATATCACATTAGACCATTTTGTCCACAAGAAAGAAAAACAAAAGAGAGAAAAAAAGTTGAAAGTGGAAAAACAAAAAAGGAACCTAATGTTTTTTTTTTTGGCGAGAACACAATAACGTGTGTACTTACTGAGTAGCAGAACTGCCCAAGCGTAGAAGGTAAGCTCGCAGTCGTATGAGATCATTGCTCCGATGGCGTTCACGCCGAAGAACGCGCTAGACCTTCCCAACATAACCGAAAGACAGGACGCCATGCCTCTGTAGAAAGAAAAAATACAAGTGGGTAAGTAAAATGGCACTATATTTTGTAAAGTAAGATATTATTGTATGAGTATGAAAGGCATAAGATTCCTGAGTTGTAGTACCCATGAAGTCAAAGTCAAAGTCAAAATTTCTTTATTTGTTTGGACTAATAAATAGTTCTTACAAATCGTCATTTTGCTCTTAAGGAGCCTCTACATGTCTCATAATCTTTTTACCCTACCAGCGCTTCGAGACCAACATTTGGCAAGTGCTGAGAAGAAGCGCCGCAACAAACTCNATGTGTAGATGAATCATAACATTAAGGCTCACCTTACAGAAGTAGGATACAGCTCAACGAAGTATACGCTCAGAATGCCCATTGTTAGAGCGCAAAGAAGGAAGACGAAGAAGAAGACTCCGCCAGCAATCGGACTAGCGACGAGGTTCAACAACACAGCGGCAGCAGCAGAGGTCGCGATGATGGCGATCATTGCCAGCTTCTTCTGGCCACCACAAGTCAAGGATAGAACCAAGTTGATGGTGCTGGCCAAGGCTCCGTAAGACATTGCCGATAAAAGTGTCGTCTCTTGGATCTTGTCATTGCAGATTTCGACCACGTCCTGAGGAAGAAGGAAAAAAGTTGAGAACAGATTCTAGATTTAGATCGAGATTAAGTCGGATCTAGGAATTAAGAACCATAACGCTGAATATTATAAAGAAGGCAAAGAAAGATCTTCTAGAGGCTTGTTATAATTATTTCTTCTTACCGTGCCATTTCCAGAGACAGCGAAGCTTTCTTGGGTGGAGAACTTGATCACAGTGCAGAGGTTCATGCCCTCACCGCCTCCAGACTCCAGTACGGAGAACAGGTTGTTCATGATGTAGGGCAACCAGAGGATGAAGCCGCTGCCACTGCAAAACAAAGGAAGGTATCAATAAAAAAGAGCTCAGAATCACAAAATTTACTTAATCGATTTGACTATGACTGGTCCAAAACAAGAAATTGAAGTCTAAAATCTTACGTCATGTAAATAACGACGACCAGGTAGAAAAGCTTGAGGGTGTTCTTGAATAGAGGAGGCTTGAAGAGAGGGACTGTCTGCATGCATATGGACTTGAAGAACGAGCAGTCAGCTACAGTAGCAGACTGGTCTCCTTCTTCCTCGATCAGTTTTCTGACCTGTACAAACACAGTCATTAAAGTAAGGAAATAAGCAAAAACATTATTTATTTCATCTTAGATGAGTAGCTCAAGCTTACCGGGAAGTTATCAGCCTTGTCGCCAGTGTTGACGGAGTAAATGCCCTTCAGAGCATCCAAGGCATCATCGTACCGGCCTTGGGAGGCCAGGAACTTGGGGCTCTCGTAGAAGAACCGCAGCAGGCAAGCAGTGGCAGCGCAAGGGATAGCCATCACCAGGGCCAGAAGACGCCAGGGGCGGTAGGTGATGTTCAGGAAGTCAATCTTGTATGCGAACTCCAAGGGGAGGATGGGGTATGCGAATACTGTGAACAAGAAAAAAATGAAACGTCAAGAAATATTTTTCATAGATAAATATGTAGAGACAGGGTCATTATCATCATCAGGAATTGTCCTGATGATGTGTACTTCTATTGAAAAGTACACTATAATGCACGAGTTCGAAGAAACTTCAATGTTAAATACAGCGGCTACAATAACTAAATCTAAACTTGCTAGTAGAGATTGTCGTCGTCCGTACACCAGATTTAATGGTTTGGACTTATTGATCAACTAGGTTGTGTAGTATTCTCCGTTTTAGATCTAAAAAACGTAATTTAAACTAGATCACACAGTTTTAAAAAAGGCTATCACTCACCAGCGACGACAGCCTGTGAGCACATAAGAGCGCAGGTACACAGTAGCATGGAGCGGCCGCGCGCGCGCATCGAACAGCTCTCACCCAGCAGTGTGTATGCGCCTGAGTTGCTGGCAGACGTGCTGTGAATGAAAGAAATGATGAGAGTCCGTGGTGCCACATCCAACCTCTCCTACCTACACATAGAAAAGTAGCGCACCTTTGTTGTAAAACGATTGCGGGGCTGGGGGCAATAAATGAAGTAGATATATTTTTCATGATGCCTGGATGAAAACAGAGTCTAAAAATAAGAAGTAACTATTGTGAGTTCAACTAGTTCAACATCTAACATCTTTTCAGAAGCCACCGTAGCTCGATGGAACTAACGCCATAACGTGCGTTCCGAAGAAATAAAGCGGTTTTAAGGACAAGGGTTGTATTGTACGCAAGAAGTATTGAATATCATACATTATTTTCAGTACCGTCCCAATCCCAGTGATAACGATAAACATTATCAAAGCAATCAAGCAGCACACAGTAATCCTGTAAGTCATTATTGTTAGATTACCATCTGAAGGTTTTATTACTACGAAGGTATTTCCGTGAAAACATTTACTTGTGCGTCGTTACTGACTTAATTTAAAATAAGTACTTGTTTCAATAAACATGCAAATGATTTCATGATTGTTAATTTATTTTTAAAGACAAAAAACCTATAGGCAATAATTATCCTAATCATATTTTTTTAACAATATTTAATTAAATAGTACCTAGTTCAAAATAGGTGCAATGGAGTTTTTTAAACACGTGTTTATTTAGAAGCTCGTTATCTATTATTATCAGCACGTTTGTGGCTATTAGTTAATATTGATAACAATGATTACAGACTTTCCTGCGTCATAAACAAGGTAAACATTCGGAGTTTCTCGGGTGACGACGTAGATGAACGAAAATTATAGAAACTAAATGTTAATTTGAGGCTTGGGCCTTGATTAGTAACACAAAGTTAACGTTCTAAAAGATTTGAAAATTCTTATTATACCTAATCGAGTCCTGAACATTTTCAGGAATCTCAAATGCATGAAATTGCACTCTCGTCATAATACACTATGCGTATAGTTCCAAAATACTGAACTGTCCTATCCATGACATTGACAGCGGGGTGCCATCGTCAATACCGGATCGCTGGTTCCGATTTTTACATGTTGGAAACCATATAATTGAACGATAGTAGCGCCCCCCTGTCATTAAGTTTGGTGGGACAGTTCAGCGTGGGTCATCTATACTATGATCTTAAAAACTGAAGTTTAGAGTAATAAATTAGTCTGTCGACATTTGTTTAGGAAGTTTCTGTTTCTGTTTCATGTCAAAATGAAGAGTTTGAATATTTTATGCTTTTTCAGTTCTCTATCTTGCATTATTTGCGGGGTATCTCTACAATGTCACCTCAAATAATCCAACTATTAATAAAACGAGAGTTCTATATTATGTAAACAAGAAAACTTTCCGTTTTATTTTTGCTTTCGCCTTATCTGTCATTTGTTTGAGAAGACTTTAATTAAGTAATCTTTGAATAAATATTTTAGGTTGCTGGCGATTTTCATTTCATTTTCTTGTAAGACCAATCAGACAATGCATTTTTCTTACTATAAATACTTTCCTGTGCATACTTACTAATAATCAAGTGCAGGTGGATCAAGTGATCATCTCTTTGAAACAATATCTAAGGACCCATGTAAATACAAAAAAACATATTTACTCAACAAAGTTGACCTAAAATCAATTTACATAAAGCCGGGTCCATAGCCCGCAGAATCGCTAAAATCAAGTGGCAGTGGGCGGGGCACAGAGAGCTGATGGCCGCTGGGGCAAGAAAGTTCTTGAGTGGCGACCACGAGCCGGAAGACGTAGCGTAGGCAGGCCTCCCACTAGGTGGACCGACGATATGGTGAAGGTCGCGGGAGGTGCCTGGATGCGAGCAGCACAGGACCCGTCTTTGTGGAAATCCTTGGGGGAGGCCTTTGTCCAGCAGTGGACGTCTTTCGGCTGAAACGAACGAACGAAAGCTGGGTCCAGACATGATCGCCGTATCCGATCACCGGATCCGTATCTGCGTATTGTATCAAGCCCCGTATCAAGTTGTGGACGCCTCTGATTTGCCGACACGACATGGGACGCGTCGTATCATAACGGCGTATCGAGATCCCGTATCATGATACGTGCATCATTAACCGTCCAAATATGCGATCTATATTCGTCGACGATACGGATACGGTGATCAGATCGGACAATTGATACATGTCTGGACCTGCCTTAACACGATAATGATCGGTTGTACCAGGTTATCAATGCATTATAAATAAATACTTACAAAGTAGACGAGATGAGCTTAAGGACGGCCATCGTGATCCAGTCTGGTGAGAAGCTGCTCAAGGCTGCGAACACGAAGCCAATGGACATGGACAGCACAAGGGTCAGCTTCCGACCCTTCGTGTCTGAGATGTAGCCCCACAGCTGGGCACCAGTTACCACTCCTGTAAGAAGACAAATAATATTCCAATATGGGGTAACCCAATATGGCTTAACCAGGTGTTTTGGGCATTGCATTAATTAGGTATTAATTTTCCGCTGTTCGATGAACTGACGATTTCCAGAAAAGTGTTTAGATGAGAAAAGCGGCTGGTTCTTTTGTGACTTTCTGAAGTTGATTGTTAAATTATACATAAATGGTACATTTAGAAATCACACCAAAATAAGGTAATATTTGTGTACAAGCTGTGGCCTTGGTTGCAGTTTTTGTGGCTAATCGGTTGTATGCAAAAAAATCAATTGAATGCAGACAGATGCAGTAAGAAGATAAGATAAAAATATCAGTCGATCGACAAAGATATCCATTTTTGAATGTTTGTCTCAAACTAATAGAGACAGTCGATAAAAAAGAGTGGTGACCACTTCAATGAAAAGAAAAGAATTATATGGTGGCCTTCTTCTTTACGGGGTATACCTATCTCACCTCTAGATCCCAACACTGCAATTTTTGTAGATCCAGGATATTAGGCTTATGCTCGTTTTCACCATTAATCCCTCATTTTTAAGTGACTCCTATGAAAACAAAATTCCTCTTATGTGTTATGTTACCATAGGGGACACTTAAAAATTAGGGATTGATGGTGAAAACGGGCATTAAACTCTTGTGACAGACTTTATAAAATTGGATAGAAGAATTGAGCAATTGAGAAAGGATATAGTTACAATAAAGAGTAAAAAATAGTCGCACAATTTTTGTATGCTTTTGTGATTTCCAATAATAAATAGGTACATTTTAAAGCTTTGTATAAGTTGATTTTATATTGTTTATTGTAAATATCCACTTACAATTAATTAATGCCCTTCTAGTATCGTTGGAAAGGTTAAAAACACCTTGTACATAAAAGGCTGGTGATATGAATTAACTAACTGAATTTTAAAGCAATGTCAAGGGCGGTTTAAATAAGGATGCTTTTTGTAGTTATTTAGACGCCATTCAAAATAAAGGTTTTTATGCAATTTTTACGAATTACTTTCTAAATTTTACATTGGTGGCCACGTAAAGTCATTTCTGTTCCAATTGCTGTAAAAAATTTACAGCAAAACGGTGCTAAAATGTGTTCTTAAAACTATGCGATTATTGAAGACGTTTGTTTAGTAATTGCAAAAATAAAGGAATCATTTCATCACTTTGTGCAATTGACTGAAAATTCCGGGATAAAATTGACTAAATTTGACTGGAGTTGAATCCAAGATTGTAGGGTTGATTTAACTTCTGGTTTTCCCACCGTTTGTTATTGAACTTGTATGATCAGGCGCATTAGTTTGTTTGCTAGGAAGAGTTAACAGTTATTGTGTGTTAAAATTAGATCTAGATAATTATAGTGTACATTTGCATGATTTATGCTAATAATATAAAGGAGTAAATGAGTGTGTTTATAATGTTAAGTAAATAAATGCAAAAATAGTCTCGGGAAATCTGAGATTCATGCGTGTGCAATTCTTAATAAAAGAGACACCAAGAAGTAGCAATGTGATTGCCCGTGGATAGGTTGTAATGACCCATGATGGATAATTTTAGGAGCTATCAGCAGCAGAGGAAATGGTGAATACATAGCAAACAAGTAGAAACATTGGAAAGACTCAATTTAGCAGTCTTATCCCTAGAAAGTGATTTCTTCCAGACAAACTGGTGTGAGGATAGATCTTTCACATGATCGAGGCGAAAATGCTTTAAAATTAGAGGACCTTTAATACTTAAATGTATTTGGTAGAGAGTAGTCCAAGAGTGGCCGTTGAACCAGTGCTATAATAAAGTATAATACAAGTAAAGTAGTAGGACAAATTACATTTTTATACGAGTTTATCTCCAAATATTGGTGGCCAATGTTGGTGCTCGAACTTACCAACTAACGGCATGGCATAGAGCTAGCAGAGACTATCACGAAATGTTGGAAGGCAAATGTTGGTGACATCCTAACTTACCAACTAACGGCATGGCAGTGAGCAGAGCCCGTTGCTGCATCGTCAGCTCCAGATCGCAGACGGCAGCAGCCACCACGAAGCTGGTGCCGAAGAGGTCCATGCCCATGGCTTGCAACGTCCAGCTGCATACTAAGAGCAGCGAGAAATTGTATTTGCCGAAACCTGGGAAAAAGATTGGATATGTTAAAGTTAGCTGGACAAAGGATGGACATGAAATTATAGTCTTTTTTATGGCAAATAAATTACAAGATCTTGGTTCTCTAAAACTGAGAGAGACAATCGGATGGAACTGTTATGACAAAATCGATAATATTGATTGGTCAGCCCTTTCAGTGATGACGATGGAGCACTTTATCTGGGCAAAATTAAACTAATTTTTAGTGTAGAATGTCCGTTGTTGTCACGAGGACTGATATTTCAAGATGATTGTAGATTTTTTAATTTTATGATTTTTCTACTGCTTTATTAAAAGTAACAGCATACAAAAAATAAAAGTTTTTTTTAGATAATGTGTTTGGTTTTAAAAATGCCTGGTTATTATTGATCAGTTCAATACAAACCTGTGAGGGTCAGAGCCTCTTCAATGGTGGCCGCATGTAATGGCCTCTTCTTTTCTGCATCTCCCATATCTTTAGCAATTGTTTGTTTCATTTTTGAAATTTAAATTAAATATAAATTAATGGTAATAATATGATTTAGTATAAATCTTTGGAATCTTTTGATGCTAGGAGACAGTTTTTTGTACTGATCGCCTCTCGTGCTACAGTCACTAATGCTCCTAGTTTTTTATCTGTCTACCTGGGAAGTTTTCTCTTATATACATGCTCGAGGCGTCAGATGCCCTGATAGCAGCGTCATGGATGGTAGGCGAAATCGTATGATCAACACGACTGTTTACGCTGATAAGCTCGACGATTCGAAAATAGCAACGAATGTTTCTATGTTTGCTCTATGTGACGTTGGACTTATTTTTGTTATTTGATACCGTATGTTTAACTAGTTCTTTTTGGTGTAGCGCAGTAGTGTTGAATTGTTCTAGTAAAAAGGAAGTTGGTTCTTCTTGGACTACGCATACCTACCTAATTTCCATGCATCCGTTCCTTTCTCTCATTTAGATATTTTTTGTTCGTTCGTTTCGTTCGTTTGACTAAGGCCTCCCCCAAGGATTTCCACTACGACCCATTTACGATGACAGAATCCTGTTAGATCTCAATATTTATGCCATTCATTTAGAATGGCTCTTACAACGTCGCGGCACTCGCGGCACAGGTAACTCAGCATGTAGCGGATCATGATATTGAATCGAAGTCTAGCGTTACACTATCTACATGGGCCTGCTACAGGTTCTTAAATGTAAATGCATTTCGCAAATTTAAAAATTTAAATAAATAATTTTAAAATATCCTTGAAAATTTTACACTACACCTAATCTCACGTGGGGGAGAGACAGAAACAGAGTAAATTGCTGAGAAAACTGGGATATTTTAAGTAAAAAAAATTCAAAACAAAAATTTAAACTCATAGTTAAAAATTGTAAAAAACGACCTAAATTGTCTTCTGTTTTTTTTTTCATATAAATATAGAGTTTTCTACTTCTTAGTCCTTTTCAACGACGTGGTTGCAGGTCTCCTTCAGGTCAGGTTACAAAACCTTTGTTTCTGAGCAACTATTCCCACCACTGCAATTCAAAGCATAGGTAGATTTAACTTGTTTACATTGCAAATAGGCATCTTTTTAAAACTCATGTGAGATTAGGGGGAGGGGGTCTGGCAAAATCTCATGAAATCTCACCAAGGGTGGCGGGGGGTTGAAAAATAGCCAAAATTGTCTCACTTAATTAATGGACATAACATTTTTTTTACGGGGAAAAAATGCGTTGAATCGCATACCTACCCTGCGGGGACAGGGTAGATTATGTGGGGCTCACCAAGTCAGAAGGACGAGGCATACCCACTAAAAAGACCCCGGTGCTCCGTCACTCGCCATAAGTGGGAGGAAACTGTGGGTTTCCGGACAAAGCCTTCTCTACCACAGCCCCTCCCGGCGATTGCCCGCCTACACGGCGGGCCCTACAAGCCGGGACAGGAGCAGCTGGAAGCACACAGCTGTTCCCGTCCGACGGTGGTGGTGGCCTGTGCAATGCAGGCGGGGGCGCCCCGACGCGTTACGTTCCCTCTAATATGGTCGAGTGAAGCGAAGGCTGGTTCACTCGTCATGTCAGTGAACAGGCGCTGCTTTCGGGGACTGGTCAATCCAAGTTATTTAAATTTATGTATGCGAGTCATTTCTACTAGTACCTTAATATGTAAGTCTAAATATTAGCACGTCACTACCTTGTTTAATATACCACGCAATCTTGTATACCTACCCATTCTTATGATCCACCGTACAAGAATGCATGGTNAAGGCAAATTTTGGTGACATCCTAACTTACCAACTAACGGCATGGCAGTGAGCAGAGCCCGTTGCTGCATCGTCAGCTCCAGATCGCAGACGGCAGCAGCCACCACGAAGCTGGTGCCGAAGAGGTCCATGCCCATGGCTTGCAACGTCCAGCTGCATACTAAGAGCAGCGAAAAATTGTATTTGCCGAAACCTGGGAAAGAGATTGTACATGTTAAAGTAAGCTAGACAAAAGATGGACATGAAATAATAGCCTTTTTTATAGCAAACAAATTACAAGATCTTGGTTCTCCAAAGCTGATGAGACAAGCGGATGGAACTTTTATGACGAAATCGATAATATTGATTGGTCAGCCCTTTCAATAATGACGATGGAGCACTTTATCTGGGCAAGATGAAACTAATTTTTAGTGTAGAATGTCCGTTGTTTTTGATTTACTCGAGGACTGATATTTCAAGATGATGGTAGATTTATCATAATTCTATGATATTTCTACTGCTTTATTAAAGGTAAAATGTGTTTGGTTTTCCAAATGCCTGGTTATTATTGATCAGTTCAATACAAACCTGTGAGGGTCAGAGCCTCTTCAATGGTGGCCGTATGTAATGGCCTCTTCTTTTCTGCATCTCCCATATCTTTGGCAATGGTTTGTCTCATTTTCGAAATTTAAATTAAAAATAAATTAAAGGTAATAAAATGTTTTATTTAAAATCTTTGGAATCTTTGGATGCTAGGAGACAGTTTTTTGTACTGATCGCCTCTCGTGCTACAGTCACTGATGCTCCTAGATTTTTATCTGTCTACCTGGGAAGTTTTCTCTTATATACATGCTCGAGGCGTCAGATGCCCTGATAGCAGCGTCATGGATGGTAGGCGAAATCGTATGATCAACACGACTGTTTACCCTGATAAGCTCGACGATTCGAAAATAGCAACGAATGTTTCTATGTTTGCTGTATGTGACGTTGGACTTATTTTTGTTATTCGCTGCCGTGTGTTTACCTATTTGGCGTAGCACAGTAGTGTTGAATTGTTCTAGAAAAAAAGAATTGCATGCATCAGTAAAGTTCCTTTCTCTCATTCAGATGTTTGTTCGTTCGTTTCAGCCAAATGACGTCCACTGCTGGACTAAGGCTTCCCCCAAGTATTTCCACAACGACCGATTTACGATGACAGAATCCTGTTAGATATCAATTATGATTTAATGACTGGAATTTCAGTCATTTGTCCAGATTTGGCTGAAAAGAACGATCGAACGACTGGCATTTTTTTTATTTGCATTTTTCCTAGTATGGTATTACGTATGAATGGAGTTGTTCCATTCCATGGAACGATACATGATAGAACGATAGATAGGAATGTCTTGTTCTTAGTACATAATAGTTTGAGATGTTCCTTCAAATCAACCAAAAGACGTCCACTCAACATATGCTTCCCCCAAGGATTTTCACAACGATCGGTCCTACACTAGCCGTATCTTGTAACCAAGATCGTCAGTCCATTGACAGATGGGAGGCCATTTTTCTACTCGTACGTTTTCTGGCCTGTTGTCGCCACTCAAGAACTTTTCAGCCTCAAGCCTTAAGGTCCACTGGGAACATACCGTGTTTTGTACGTAAATTCGGCTCGTAGCAAAGCATGATATCGTATCCAAGTCAAACGTTACATTGTCTACATAATATGTGCCTTCTAAATGATAATGTTTAGGTTTTGTGGTTTTTGTTGCATTATGTCTGGCATTTTTCTGTCACATTTGAAATTATTTACCCAAGGACATCCAGAACGAAAAAAAGCCCAAGCAAAACACCTATATAATAACGCAGTTTACGCAGTAACATATCTGTAAGAGTAAAGTCGTAGTATATTTTATAACGAACAACAAGTGTATCTTCCGTTGACCGGTCATCAAACTCAGCCTCCTACGACGTATTTGCTATTTTCTTGTTATGTATTTAATTATCTTATCGGCTCACCAAGGGGTAATATTTGGTTGAGGCTTTGTTACAAATTAATTTATTGTTTTACTATTAACACATGTTTACTTCAAAGATCATGGGAGAACAGGGCTACATAAATTATCTAGCTACTTAGTAGGTAGCTCTTTATAAAATGTAATCAGGATATTGTGCAAAAAGTTCCAATACCTAATTGTACTTTGTGTTATACCTTTCGTTGGGAAAATAAGTAGGTAAGTAATCATCATTTTGAAAAAAAAATATCCATGATAGGTAACGATACTGAATTTGCTGTCGAAAATCTTTTGAGTTGATTTTTCCAAATCACAACGATTCGTTTTAGGTGAATCAGATATTCTTCACATGACTTGTTCTAGAGACTTTGTACATCTAGATGTCGCGTAGCTTCCCGAACGCTGCATAAACCTCTTTCTCGAAGTTGAATCTACCAAAGACCATGTTTAAAATACATACGTATTCGTCAAAAACTCCACGTGCTATGCTATTTTTGGAGTTTCCTTACCTGTCCTAATCAGAAAAGGAAAGAGAAAATCCGTAGAAGAACTAAAGTACCAATATCCAGTAGGATTATCTAGCCAAAAGACAGTGGGCCGGGAACGTAGCTCGTAGCTTCGTAGCGCTGATGGCCGTTGGGGCATATCGACATTCGACAGAGACCTAACGAAACGATCACGAATGTTGCTTTGTCTGGATGCCCTGATTTTAAAGTTTGTAAGTCTAGAATCTACATACATACAGCATAATGCTGACCTATCGTAAGAAAAATACTCCTTAGCGACCCGCTATCACGAGACATTCAGTTTAAACATGCTCAAATGTTAAGCCCCAAAAAACTTTCCGAGCCAAAAATATTCCACACTTTCTAAATGGTTGTATCTGGGGAGATAGCGGCAGTTTGCTCACCGTTCGCGAGGTATTTGCTCAGCAATCAACGTCTAGGGGGGGTCTGATAACGTGTCGCTACATAAAGCCTGAGATTGTTAAATTCTAGAAAATTATTTGTAGTCTTACTTAAGACAATTTCAGGTATTGCAGAATATACTTTTTTTATGCATAACAAGGCAGGTATTCGACCTCAATGCACCTGATATTAAGTGAGATGCAGTCTAGGATCGTACATACGAGTACCTATTATCTGCCCTGTAAGTGCCTATTTACTCTCGCCTTTCTTATATAAACATTTGAAGAAGAGAAAAACTGAAGTTCGAATGATTCGAATGTAGCAATACATTCTTCATCTTAATCCTAAGGTGTATTAGATAAGATCGCCTAAATTGTACCGTCTCTCTTTGTTTTAATTTCTTTCCTTTCTTGTTTGCAAGAAAGTTTTGATCTCTCTATGTAGGTACCTATTATCGACATACACTGCAGAATTTGAAAAATCAAGTGGCAGTGGGCGGGGAACATAGCTCGTAGAGCTTGGGGCAGAAAAGTTCTCGAGTTGTGACCACGGGCAGGAAGACATAGTGTGAGCAGGTCCCCCACTAGGTGCACCGACGATCTGGAGAAGGTCACGAGAAGTGAGTGATGTGGGCGGCGCAGGACCGGTCTTTGTGGAAAGCCTTTGTCCAGCGGTCGACGTCATTTGGCTGAAACGAACGAACGAACGATCTACCTATCTTGTATTCTTCTTGTATATACTTATCGTGTGGGTTTTTACAACTGAGGTCGGTGTCAGCATAATAACTCGATACGTCTAGCATGATGACTCAATCAAACCGTCGGCTTGAAGTACCTACTGTAGTTAGGAACCACATTTCTTTGTAGACAATCAAAATCATTCCAAAATATCCTAATAGGATGATTTTTACAATTGGAGTTCAGACTTAGCGTCCGGATCAAAGAATGGGTGAATCAAACTGATAGGGGAGGTAGCTCTACTAATGTACGATCCCTAAAAATATGAAAAAAAATAAAGCGTAGGACACAAAATATTTTTTTTAAAGTGAAAATAAATCATTTTTGCCTAAGTATTTGGCTATAATTGCTGCGTTTGGAGTTTTTCATATTTTTTAGGGATATAACATTAGTAGAGCTACCTCCCTCCCTAGCAGTTTGATTCACCACCCATTCTGGGACACCCTGTATAATNCATATAACTTCAAGACCACGAACTCATTCATAACTAAATTAACCGATAAGAAGTAAAGTAATAATAAACTTCTATTTTAAACCAAAGTTTTGTCAATCAAACCTTATGATAAAAGGTTGCTCAAGCGATTATCTTAATAATAACTATTAAACCATTACACTAGTTAAACACAGATAAGTGTGATTTATTCTCCGTCGACGTATCGGATGGGTCCTACACCCGATACCGGCCAGTCTTACTCCGGTATTGCATCCCGTTACAAGTTTAATTATTGTGAAATATGTTAAGTGAGATCAGTGAATAAGTTAATGTAAGAGTGATTTGTTTATATTTACTTTGCGCTGACGCCATTGCGCCACGTGAAAATAATCTTATTGTTATCACATGATTGCTGCTAATTTATTTTCTGATAAATCAAATCAAAAATATTTAGTTTTGAACAGTATATTTTGGCGTTTACTACTCGTATGCAATCGATAAAAAAGATAGAGCAGAGAGGTTGAAACTAGTACTTTAAAGTAAATCTTCAGTTTTATTCGATTGCTATTAGATGACTTATGTCCGTTTTCACCATCAATCCCAATTTTTAAGTGACCCCTATGAAAACAAAATTCCTATTGTGTCACCATAGTGGTCACTTAAAAATTAGGGATTGATGGTGAAAACGGGCATGAGTTACCTTAAGATAAATAAGTAAATAAATAAATAAGTTTTATGGACAAAAAATCTTTCAGCATTTGCTTTAGAAGGAAACCATCACTTAGTACAGCAAGGTCTGCATGATAAATTTGTGAAGTAGGTATTGCATGAGCACGTCTTTCCAGCGTGCGCTTTGAAAGCCAAATCTTTTGTTTACTTTTGGTAAATACGTGCTCCTGCAGTGGAGACTAAATTGCCTGATAGTGATGATAATGATGATGAAATCCAAATAAACATTGCATGGAAGTACGTATTCGCCAAGGTGGACCGACGACCTGATAAAGGTAGCGGGAAGGCGCTGGATGCAGGCCGCTACCAACCGTGCGATGTGGAAGTCATTGGGGGAGGCCTATGTTCAGCAGTGGACGTCATGTGGCTGAAATGATGACAATCTTAGTTCTGGTAGAGATCGGGATACCTACCTGCAAGAAAGTAGTCCATAGTTTTCCATATATCTCATTATACTTCAATCATAAATCCGATTTATTTACTCATACTTGGGAAATAAACAAAATTGTAAGCAGTGAAAGTAGTTTATTCAATTAAAATGTAATTAACGTATCGAGCAGTAAACAAAACCAAGCTTTGAGCCTAAAGGCGGATCCAGATGTTTGTATTGTGTTATTAAACGAACTCTACACGATTAAAATATTAGGTTTATGACAAGGGTTTATGTAATATACACCTACGCAATTTTTTTTTTGTAAAGGTGGATGGCCTCTATAGATTTTAACGAAAGTTCACAATGTTAAAGCATCAGAAACAAAATACTAAGGCTCAGTTGCACCACCTAACTTTAACGGTAACTATGACGATAACCGGTGCATTTTGTATGGAGTTTGACAGATTTTTGACGTTTGTTACAGTCAAAATAAGATGGTGCACCCCGGCCTAAGCTATTGTTTTGGTTTTGTATTAGGCAAAGATATAGGTAAGCTGGGTCTGATTGTGTTTCAAGATGTCTTTTGCATTTGAGCGATTGTGTTCGCCCTGTAACATAGAGTTGATGGATCAGCGCAAGCGCCGGCAATGTAAAGCTCGTGGATATATTACAGTCATTGTCGAGTGCATTACCGCAGCAAAATTTTTATAAATGTTGTGCTTTAGAGAGTCGAGAGTATAGCAGATAATTAGTCCATCGTGAGCAGAAATTTGTCCACTAATAGCAAAATTCGGTCAAATTATAGTTTTAAAGTTATTAGGAAAAAACAGATNAATATTTATTCAGTTTTGACCAGTATATTTTGGCACTTTCTACTCGTATGCAACGATAAAAAAAGATAGAGTAGAGAGGCTGAAACGAGTACTCCAAGCGCTTCTGCACACGACGTCACGACGTGTTCAGACGCACCGAGTAAAACCGCCGCCGCGCCGCCACCGCGCCATCAAAGCATAATTTCGCCCGCGGCGCGGTGGCGGCGCGGTAGCGGCGTCGTGTGCAGGAGCGTAAATCTTCAGTTTTATTAGATTGTTATTAGATGACTTATGCCCAATTCCTATTGTGTTACCATTGTGGTCACTTAAAAATTAGGGATTGATGGTGAAAACGGGCATGAGTTACTTATTTTATGGACATAAACTCTTTCAGCTTTTGCTATAGAATAGAAGATGAAAACCATCACTTGCAACAGCAAGGTCTGCATGATAAATTTGTGAAGTAGGTATTGCATGAGCACGTCTTTCCAGCGTGCGCTTTGAAAGTCAAATCTTTTGTTTACTTTTGGTAAATAGAGAGTCGTGCTCCTGCAGTGGAGACTAAATTGCCTGATAGTGATGATAATGATGATGAAATCCAAATAAACATTGCATGGAAGTACGTATTCGCCAAGGTGGACCGACGACCTGATAAAGGTAGCGGGAAGGCGCTGGATGCAGGCCGCTACCAACCGTGCGATGTGGAAGTCATTGGGGGAGGCCTATGTTCAGCAGTGGACGTCATGTGGCTGAAATGATGATGATTGACGTATTCGCATGATCACAATCTTAGTTCTGGTAGAGATCGGAATACCTACCTGCAAGAAAGTAGTCCATAGTTTTCCATATACCTCATTACGATTCAATCATAAATCCAATTTATTTACTCGTACTTAGGAAATAAACAAAATTGTAGGCAGTGAAAACTGGTGTTAAGTAGTTTATTCAATGAAAATTTAATTAACGTATCGAGCAGTAAACAATACAAGCTTGGGGCCTAATAGTCCAGTCAATAAAGCATTATACACCGTGTTACTTTGCATTCTTGCCATATTCACAGAGATAAAAGTAGGGACCAATACCTATTTTNGTAAGTCTAAATATTAGCACGTCACTACCTTGTTTAATATACCACGCAATCTTGTATACCTACCCATTCTTATGATCCACCGTACAAGAATGCATGGTAAATACAGTGAACTGCTCCTGAATCGAATGTACCTACTACTACTATTTCTATTTATTTATATTAACCGGCAGACAGTGGTGACTGAGCTTGTTGCGGCGCTTCTTCTCAGCACTTGCCAAATGTTGGTCTCGAAGCGCTGGTAGGGTAAAACGATTATGAGACGTGTAGAGGCTCATTTGTAAGAACTATTTATTAGTCTAAACAAATAAGAAATTTTGACTTTGACTTTGACGCCTCCGGCCCGCTGGCCATCACCGAGAGGAAACTGGAGGCGATCATATTGTCGCCTCCTCTAACCCCTCCGCCGTCGCCGGAGCGAGGGCGCGTTTGGATCATCCTCGCGCTCTCGCTCCGCGGCCTCCTTCTGAGACATCACGTCTTTACAGAAGGAGGCCATTGCCACCCAGGCCTCGTTACTGTCCAGCATAGCTTTGACTATACTGGGCACCACAAGGTCCCGGCCTACTGCTGCGATAAGCGTATTGCGCTGCGGAGCCCACGCCGCACATACCGCAAGGGTATGGTGTGCCGTGTCCTCCGCACCGCCGCGACACGCGTGGCAGGACGGCGTCTCTTCCCTTCTAATGCGGTGCAGATATGAGCCAAAGCATCCGTGACCGGTCAACACCTACACCAAATGGAAGGAAAGGTACCCGTGCAGGCGCTCGAGCCTTTCTATGGTCGGCGCGAGCGTCCGAGGTTCGGCGGCCCGACTCGGCAACGGCGAGGTGGTCTGCCCACTGTTGGACCACAGTTTCACGAGCCTCGCGTCGAACTGCCTCCCTCTCCTCGAAGGCGGGGTGTTCGCCCCGCTCTTTCTGGGCCGCCATCCATCTGTAAACGGCGGCCTGGACATGCGCTTCTAGCTCCCAGGGAGGGGTAATGCCAAGGCGCATGCTGCGTCGAAGCCGACTGTGCGATACGCCCTGGCTACCCTCTGGGCGATGGCCCGTTGGGGTCTCCGGAGGTGAGCCGCGTTCCCCTGTCAAGAATGGACCTAACCTAACCTAACCTAACCAGCAAAAAATCCTTAGAAGAAAATATGAAACTGACATTAGATGAAATATATTGTGGCAATTGTGGTAACGACGAACAACTAAGGAACCCTACACAGCGCGTGTCACGACACGCACTTGACCAATTTTATTGTAATTACATGCATATTGCATTTACTATGTACATACCACCCAGAGTCTAAGTATCCTTGGACATTTTTACACTGCGCTTCTAGTCCCAAACTAAGCAAAGCTTGTATACTATGGGTACTAGACAACGGATATAAACATACTTAAATACTTTTTTTTGTAAATACATACTTATTATACATAGAAAACACCCAGTCCAATACAAACAAATATGTTCATGCACACAAATGTTTGTACTGTGCGGGAATCGAACCCGCAACCTCCGGAATTGAGTAGTCCGTTTCGAACCACTACCTACACCAAACGACCGACGAAATTTTAATTCATCATTTCAATTTCTCTCGGCATAGTAGTCCATTCTAAACCATTCATTTACCCAAGGACATCCAGAACAAAAAAATCTAAGCCCAACTAAAACATCTAATAACAGATAAAGAGTAAAGTCGTAATATATTTTATAACGAACTAGCTTTCCGCCCGCGGCTTCGCCCGCGTGGAATTTTGTCCGTCACAGAAAAACTTTATCGCGCGCGTCCCTGTTTCAAAAACCGGGATAAAAACTATCCTATGTTCTTTCCCGGGACTCAAACTATCTCTATGCCAAATTTCATCAAAATCGGTTGCGAGGTTTAAGCGGGAAAGCGTAACAGACAGACAGACAGACAGACAGACAGACAGACAGACAGACAGACAGACAGACAGACAGACAGACAGACAGAGTTACTTTCGCATTTATAATATTAGTTGGGATAACAAGTGTTGATCGGTCATCAAACTCAACCTCCTACGACGTATTTGCTATTTTCTTGTTATGCATTTAATTATCTTATCGGCTCACCAAGGGGTAATATTTGGTTGAGGCTTTGTTACAAATTAATTTATTGTTTAACTACACATGTTTACTTTAAAGATCATGAGAGAACTTGGCTACATACCTAAATAATTATCTAGCTACTTAGTAGCTCTTTATAAAATGTAATCAGGATATTGTGCAAAAAGTTCAATGATTGTACTTTCGTTAAGAAAATAAGAAGTTTAATCATCATTTTGAAGAAAAAATATCCATGATAGGTAACGTACACTGGATTTGCCGTCGAAAATCTCTTAAGTTGAATTTTCTAATCACTACGATTCTACTTGAGATGATTCATCTGTTCCTTTTGTCTCCATCATGGGGATAAAAATCATGGGGACAACACGAATAACCTGGTTCTTAAGTTTTTGGACGAGTAAGTAGATGTCGCGACTGAGCTCTCCGTACGCTGCCTAGATCTCTTTCTGGAAGTTGAACCAAGACGATTATATTGGAAAACTATCATCAAAAACTCCGCGTGCTACGTTATTCATAGCTGGGCACCGTTAATCAAATAGTTAACTTCGTTAATCGTTAAACCGTTAATAAAAAAATTAACTTCGTTAAACGTTAAAACGTTACATTTCGCAAGATGTAACGCAAGTTAACGTTAATCGTTAATCCGTTAACCGTTAACACATGATAATTATAACGAAAAAAATAATAGTATGCAAGGTTCAAATAATTTCGTAAGCTTGTAGCGCAAACATAAAAGAGGAATAAATTCCATGCGCGATACAAGATTTCGAAATTATTTGAACCTTGCATTAGTAGGTACAATTATTTTTTTCGTCTTAGTACAACTGCATTTCAGAATAAAAGGTTGTTTTGAAAAAAGTTTAAAACACTTTTTAGTAGTATCTCAATCTCAGAGCTTTGGTTCAATTACAATACAATTTAGCACCAAAGTGCTCGAAAAGACAAATCCAGCAAACCCAAACTCGATAAGTTTCCACCGTTTCGTTTAGGAATTCCTATGGCCACCTCCTGACTCCATCATCAGGACCCTGGGCATCATCTAGTACCAAAGTGCTCGAAAAGTCGAATCCAACGAACCCAAATTCGATGCGATAGGGAAACTGGTCTTAAATTCAGTTGCAAGAGTTGTCCCACACATACAAACAAGTGTCGTTAGTGATCTGGTTACAAAAACTGTTGTTTTGGGTTCTGGAAGTTCTGGAAGCCCGAACGTATTGGCAGAACGCGTTTTTCAGCGTGCCTGCTATATTTTTTTGGTAAATAGTAGGTTCTGGATAAACGATTAACGGACTTAGGATAATTTAACGGAAGTTAACGAGTCCGTTAAATTTTTTTAAAGTTAACTTAAAAATTAATCCATTAATAGAAATGTTAACTTCGTTAATTAACGATTAACGGATTAACGAGTTAATGCCCAGCTATGACGTTATTCTTGGAGTTTTTCTACCTGATCTAATAAAATAGAAAAGAGAAAATCCGTAAAATAACTAAAGCACCGACATAACCAATAGGATTGTCTACTGTCCACTGTCATTTAGCTAGACTAGCTAAAAGACAGTGGGTGGGGAACGTAGCTCGTAGCTTCGTAGCGCTGATGGCCGTTGGGGCATATCGACATTCGACAGAGACCTAACGAAACGATCACGAATGTTGCTTTGTCTGGATGCCCTGATATTAAAGTTTGTAAGTCTAGAATCTACATACATACAGCATAATGCTGACCTATCATAAGAAAAATACTCCTTAGCGACCCGCTATCACGAGACATTCAGTTTAAACATGCTCAAATGTTAAGCCCCAAAAAACTTTCCGAGCCAAAAATATTCCACACTTTCTATAAATGGTTGTATCTTAGGGAGATAGCGGCAGTTTGCTCACCGTTCGCGAGGTATTTGCTCAGCAATCAACGTCTAGGGGGGTCTGATAACGTGTCGCTACATAAAGCCTGAGATTGTTAAATTCTAGAAAATTATTTGTAGTCTTACTTAAGACAATTTCAGGTATTGCAGAATATACTTTTTTTATGCATAACAAGGCAGGTATTCGACCTCAATGCACCTGATATTAAGTGAGATGCAGTCTAGGATCGTACATGGGCANTTGTCCACGAATAGCAAAATTTGTTCGTGTTCCGGTTCTCAAGTTATTCAGAATTTTGCTGGGGTAATGTTTTGTGATGTCCCAGATCTCGTAAATGGCTTAACGCAGAAGTTTGAAAAAAATACCAATGATAGACCTTGATATGTCCAAATTAGTTCAAGCATTAGTCATTGATTTGAATGATAAACACCAGTGTAATTAAATGATTTCGAAAATCAGATAAAACGGATTTGTGAGTAAACCAGTACTCTTACAATCGAATAAAAAGGTGTTTGGTTCCGGGATAGAACGACTTTAAAAAAAAATTTTGCTGGGGTAATGTTTCAAACATTACCCCAGCAAAATCTGTTTTTTCCTAATAACATTAAAACTATAATTTGAACGAATTTTGCTATTAGTGGACAAATTTCTGCTCACGATGGACTAATTATCTGCTATACTCTCGTCTCTCTAAAGCACAACATTTATAAAAATTTTGCTGCGGTAATGCACTCGTCATTGTCTACCAACCTAAATTATACTTTCAGAGTTCAACTACGTAAATACGAGTAGGGTAACCAATTTTTATGAATTGACAAAACTTACTCTTGACTCTACCATTGATTATGTCACTAATTTGCGAATTGTATTGATTTCAAATCTACGAAAAGTTTTCAGGGCTAATATGAAAGCTTTTTTTAGAGGTATCTCTTGGAATCATTGGTTATGACAAGAACCCAATTGCATAACATAAGTTATATACAATTTTACCCAAGCCTGGACGCAACTTACTTCAGGCTGTGTTTCAGAGGTTCTAAAGTAAGGTAACTTTTGCCACCGCCACGGTCAATTTCCTAGAGTAATTTCATTAGTGCCATGGTGTTTATTTTTCCATAGCAGTCATTAGCTTCCATGTCAACATACTGTATACATATTATGAACCTCAAGCGACAGGAATACCACGTATATTTATGGCGTGAGATGTTTTGCCAACATTACTAAGACTCTGTAAACGTGATAAAAATCAATGGTCTTATCACTAACAGCAACAGTAAGAGTTTATTTTAACTTTTTAGTTACTTAATTTATTTATAAAGTACTTTGCTACTTTATGTGATTATGTGAAGTTTGTATGTATGTAGTATTTCCGGAAGGTACTCTGTCTCTACATACGTTAATTCAGGAACCAAAAGAAGTCTTTCACCATTATTTTGTAGATAAAGTTTACGGTAGGTACATCAGTACCTCTAGTAGGAAAAACTTTCGAGTTCGTTTCGTTGCGTATTCAAAGTGTCATCGAAAAATATATTCCTATATTATAGCCGCCCTAGGGGGCGCTGTTTAATTTTTCATACAAAATTTTTCGATGACACTTTGAATACGCAACGAAACGAACTCGAAAGTTTTTCCTACTAGAGGTACTGGCTTATAGATTTGTAAAATAATGCTTATTACATACCTAGTGTACATAAGATCTCGCACTCCTTAGACAAACTCAAACTCAAACATTTTATTTGCCATTTTAAGTAGGGTACAGGTACAAACAAAGTACTACGAGTATTACTGGTATTGTCTAATACCTATATTACTATTTAATTTGGAGTTTGCTTCGACACCTCTCTTTTTGTACGAAATAATTATTTCTTTATACAGGACCCCATAGCGAAATCTTTTTAATTAAGGGTTTATAGAAGCTAGTATTTTTTAAAATAATATTGTGCAATATTAAATTGAAAGCCATCCTTCATAGTGCAATATTTGTCTTGTTGACCATCTTTAGATTTCTGAGAAAGTTTTTATCTTTTTACAGTGGTAGATTAATGTAAAAACAGTGATCCAA